TTCATAATAAAGCAGAGATATACTTAATAAAGCAAAAACAAAATAAAAATCGTGTACTAAGTAATGACTGGGATAATATTTCATTAAGGTATAAATTTTGCGCGACCTATACTATATTGTGATTAAAGTAACGAATTAATATTTCCAAGTAAAATTTTGAAAATATCATTAAAATATTTAACTCGAAATATTAACTCGTTAACTTTATATTAAGATTAAATTATGTTTTGTCGCTGTCGTTATGTCCGTCGCTCTCGTTAACTTTACATTGTCAAAAATAAGATGGGTTATAAAATTATGTTTTTTCGCTGCCGTTCTGGCTTATGTTCGTTACTTTCAATCATCCAAAGCAAAACAGAGCTTTCGTCTTAGTTTACTACTTCAATTTATTAAGTTTTTCGGAAAATTTCAGATTAAACAAAAAAAAATACATTTTATGTGCTATACATTAAGTACAGTTCCCACTCATATTATATCCGCAATCAAATATATCGTAATAAAATTATCCTGAATATTTTCCATCCAACCGTGCGACTCTACACGTGACTCATGTTTTTCGATAACTATAGAGATTGAATTTCATTTTTAATTATTCTATGTACGGACCCGTTCACAGATTAGTTTTTAATGTCACAGAGAAAAAAAAAGCTGATAGCGAATAAATATTTCTCTCACGTGAACTATCGATAATGGATTTCCCGCCACCCACGAATCTTAATGACTTTTTCGTTACTTCAAATATGACAACGCATCGAGCTCATGAGGTATCCACTTAGCTAATCTATATTTAGTTTATTTTGTTTTGAAACGCCTTCCGTCCTAATTAATTCCAATTATCTCTGGGTCATAAACTGAAAATCACGGTCACAAAAACATTACACTTTGTAATTTTTCCTTCCCATTGCAATAATTCTTTATTTCAACAGTTTCTTAATTTTTTATTTTATTTTTATATCAACTTATATTGGGCCAGTTTGAAACATTCTCCGAACTAATTACAACATTTTCTTTTTCTTAAAACTGAACAACATTTTTTGTCCTTCAAACTGACTTTTAACAGTTTCAGTGTATAAAAACCATAAGAAATATAAATGATGCTGAAAAATTTCTAAATTTCAATGATTATCAAAGATTTTTCCACAAATGTGAAGACATTTGTGGAAAACATACATGAAGATGTAGGTATGCCTTTTGAATCTATTACCTACTATTTTAGTATCTTTTAAGCTTTTGAAATAAAAGGCAAACATAAATATCTTTTGACCTTTAAGAAATACCTTATCGTGGCGACTCCTATTAGCGCAGTAGATAGTGAACTTTTCTCCTGACGGTGTAGGCTCGATCCTCACCACTGGAGAAATATCGTGTGATGCACGAAATGTTTCGGTAGTTTAGCTTTTCAAAAAGAAATGAATGTCCATCGGTCATCTAGTGCCGATAGTTCAAGCTTTGCTTACTTTGGGATTGTGTAATACGTTGTATGGAATCATGACGGGAGATATTTATTTAATGATAAATGAATATTCTCTGTCACACAACGAAGCAAAACATAAACATAAGAAAACGTTTTTACAATAAAGGTGTACAATGGGCGCGACAAAAGCAATATTTTCCAGAGAAGGTCTGTAAAAATTATCTAAAATTACCAAAAATATCGAATTTTATTACAGACTTGCGATGATAAACTGTACATTTCTTGTTTTACAAATGCTAGTATGAAGTAATATTATATAAAGGGCAATAAACGACCTGGGATTCTTCTACTCAACCTCGTTAAGCTGGTAGATACGTATATTGAGGCCCTCATGACCTGGGCTACGTTGGCAATAGAAGATTATAGCTACATGGGATATCGATATATTGATCGAAGGACGTAGTTTAATGTCAGAGTGGATCAAAGGATTCTCGTTTGTATGCATATAGTAGTTGTAGTATATCGGTTTAACAAGGTTGTTAAAACGTAAGGAGCACTTCCTTGTATATGTCTTCTCCTGGGACGAGACATGTCATCTTCTATGTAGGTATTTTTTTTCTTATGAACAATAGAAATATGTTATCATAATATCAATTCTCAGGGGCACAAACAATGCAACCGTAAAAGTGCACCGATAAGCACAGTCACGCACAAAAACCGACCAACAAACGCTCCCAAATTCCACGTCATTGATCTAGATACAGGCCATCTTGTCCACAAACAATACTATTATTCCTACGAAAATAAACAACTCGAGGCTTCCAGTCGGTGTCCGATGCTCGAAAATTGGAGAAAAAAAAACAATGCGCGACAGACATGGCGGCGCGATCGAATTTTGAATTGAAAGTAGGTTAAGTTAGGGATGCGTTCGAAGGTTGCAAACAAACAAGTTAATTAAAAACATTTTAAAGTACTTTGCCGTTGTCAGGTAGAAATTTAATTAAAAAAAGTACAGACGAACGTCCACATCATTGACATCAATGAGATAAATACAAAAGTGCTTGCTGCGAAAAATATTACATTGTATTTTTAACTGTGGTAGGAGCACGCAAAAGTGTTCACTGTTGCAATAATGAGTCCGTCCGGGTAAGTACCACGACCTCACAGAAGGCTGGTGATGAGTAGAAGTGTTACACTTCTGCATTTCGTCTTTGTTTTATTTTTTTTATTTTTATGTGAAAAGTTGCCAAACGAGCAGACGGTTTACCGGATGTTAAGCAAATACCGCCGCCCATGAACATCTGGTACACCCGAGGGTTTGCAGATGCGTTGGCAACCATTTTGGAAATTGGTCTCCGGCTACCTCACTCACCAGACGATCCGCGAAAGTATTATACTTCCACTTTACGCCGGTCTTCTGTGAGGTCGTTGTACTTACCCGGACGAGCCCGCCCATTCGTGCAACAGCCGAGGCTGCTGCGTGGCCCTACTACCGTTAAGTCCGCGTCTGGTAAGTGAGGTAGCCGGGGCCCACTTTATTTAAAGTGGCGACACATTTGCAACCCTATGGGTGCTGCAAATGTACATGGGCGGCGGGTGTCACTTAACATCAGGTGAACCGCCAGTATGTTTGCCACTTTCTTACATAAAAAAATACTGTAAAAACTATTAGAATATTAACAAGGAAATCAAGGTAGACTGCATGCACAGATTCACAAAATGTGAAAGCATATATAAAAAAAGGAAAGTTTCATGAGCCATTTATAAATTAGAAATTCAAATAAAAATTGATCACGAATATATATTTACAATTTTTTAAAACACTTATTTTAACAACATAATTTTAATCAATAAACTTCTTTATTTATGTGCATTTACAAATATTACAAATACATATATTTCATTTTCAACCCTGATCGTAGACCGGCATGACGTATCACATAAAAAGCGCGCGTAAAATATTTTGATATTTGACAACTGTCACACGCATCTGATCGATATAGATTTATTTTTTTAGAGATCTATGCTGAATCATGTCACGCTTGGATCAGGTATTTTGTAGAAAATTTGTTACGCATATCGTTAATATAATATTCGAAGTTTGTGTTCCACGTTTTCCAATCCAATATTCGTATATTAAATATTAGTTTCAAGTTATGGAGTTAATTAACTAATCTATCCTCGAAGAGAATTAATAAAGAGAGAAACAGTTTCTTTTTAATGATTAGCCTGCTAAAATTGAATGATTCGCATCCTGAAAGTTATGCGTATTTATGCATTTTCCGAATTGAAACTTTTTAATTAACTTGTCACTATTTTCAATTTATTAAAAAAAATGTGAATGAAACCTACACCAAAAATTTTTTTACGGGACAACGCTAATGTAATAAATATTCGAAGTATGTGTTGTATAAAGAGGGTAGACATGAATGGTCCGGTTAAGTACTACGACCTTGCGGAATACGGTGTAAATTTAAAGTCAAAAGTTTGTTCGGGGAATTTCATCACGCCCATAAGAAAGTGAAAATCTAACACCGTCTATATATCAAGCCCCGGGAACGGAAAACTTTGAGGTCAAATACGTATTCTTTTTGTTTTTCAAAAATATGGAAGTATGAAATACAACAGCATCGGTATTAACTCTCTAGCGAAATTCCCACACATCTTTATCCTAATTTTTTAAACTAAATACTTAGTGTTTTTTTGTTTTGTTAGTCTAATCCTTTACGGGCGCACCGCGACTTGGTTTACGCAACAACATTTTTTTCAAAACGAGAAGATATGGACATATTTCGATTTTGAACATTTTACAAGCCCTTGGAGAAAATTAGAGTTTCTGCGTCTAGGTACACTTTAAATCGACTCAACCCTACATACCCCACAAGGTGATTGTAACTAAAAAATACCACTAATGCTAATCTATGGATGGTGATGGAGGACTATGGCCTAATACTCTCTGTACAGAGGTGGACGTATATAGGCTGTTACCTTACTTCACTTTATTACAATTGATAAAATTGAATCGAAGCCCCAGTATCCCAGAATTCACAGACATATTAATTAGGAATTTATTTTACGCAAAACGATACCAAGAAATCTTGGTTCCATTTGGTATATTAAAAATAATTGTTAATAAATGAAATCTCTGTCATTTATAATGGAACCAAGTATGTGTGGATCTGTTTTGCTTAAAATGACGTGGTAGTAAAATAGTTTATTTGTTTGAACAATCGAGTCCCGTTGTATTGTGGTTCGGTTTGGCTTTATATGTAATTTTCTTTATTGCAGTTGGTACTTTTCTGCTTTTTGTATACCTTGAAAATATCCAATCGAAAAATCATGTGATTCTTTTTTGTATAAGAATTTAGACCACACTAAATTCAGTATTCTTAAAAAAAAGAAAAACACAAAGTTGTGTGGTTCCATTTTGCATAAATACGAACAATTAAAAATTTTAAAAACTGAGTAGTCCATCCGTTTTATTATTGCAGCAAATCATTTGTAACGTCGATAATGTCAATGAAAGTTCAAAATTCGTAAATGCAAGAATTTATTACATGCGTTAAATATTCAAATATTGTCAACGATGGTATTTGACGTCGTCGATATGACCATGGCCGTCGAGAATCTTAGCATCCGAACCGCCTTTTCAGCAACGCCCTCGCGTAATCACAAAAACTCCGGCGAGATCTCAGCCTTCTTCGTTAGGATCCCGCGACTCCTGCACCGGTGCGTCCCTCACCTAATTCGGGACGAAGACAGCACGGCGGGAAGCCCCTCCGCTAATCGAGTTAAGGGTTGCGATAGACGAAAAGTCGGCACGCTGCCACGCGCTCGACCGATCGATCGTAGACGAAGCCCCTAGTGAAACCCCGCAAGAACTGGCATCGGCGTCCGTCGGTGCCACTATTTTTAACGCGACTTCGATAGTTGTATGTGTTCTGTTCTGTAATAACTCGGTGCGGTGTCACTATTCTGACCACTTCTCACATAAGCAACTAAATTTTTAACTAAAAAAAATTAATTTGATTGCTAATACCTACAACATTTGAGGATTGCTCTCGATTTCTCCGGGATGCCGATATCAGATCCAGGTTTCCTTGTCATGGTACCACCCTTGAGATATCTCCTTTCAAACAAAAAAAGAATGATCAAAATCTGTTCACTCAGTCGAAATTTCTGAGGTAACAAACATAAACTGAGGTAAATAAATACAGTCGAATTTTCGCCTCCGCCTTTTTTGAAATCGGTTGAAAAAAAATTTTTTTTATGTGAGACGGTGGCAAGCGATCTATTAAATGACAACCGCCGCCCTTGGACATTTGCGACGCCCGTTGGGTTGCGTTGCCACCTATCAATAAAGTGGGCTCTAGTTATCTGGTGGGGTACTTCCCCGGACGGACTGCCAGTAATTGCCATGCAACAGCGAAGACTGTTGCTGTTAGCCCAGCTGCTGTGTAAGATTCGTCGAAAGAGGACTGAGTAGTAACAAATTAGCTGTTACGCGAGGACGCGATAGCGCCGTCCTCTCCTATTCACCTCCGCGACCTCTGTTGGCGAAAGATGGACAATTCGACTAGCAAGGGAGACACGACACGATCCAGAGGCTCCGACGAGGGTTCAAACCTTGGTTTGGACTGCACGAGATAGTGGAATCTATGTAATCCAAAGTTCTTTTCCTTAAATCTCATATACCTACATTTTTACCACGCATTAGCTTTTACTGTTAACCTAAAATGACAAGTTTGTCCCGGGAAGTACCACGGCCTCATGGAAGCCCAATGTAAATTCTACGTATTATATTATTGCCTTTCGTCGTAAGTGAGGTATCGGGGCCACTACCGATAAGGTTAGCAACGCAACTGAAAGCTTACGCACGAGTATTCAAAATGTTTTGATTGACTGGCACCTGATTATAGTTAAATTTTAGTGATCTTCTTAAAGTATCGTTAAAATCTTTGTTAAGCAATTCTTTAATTTGCTGTTCTGCACAAAACTGCATCTCGCCAGTTAAAGTTTTGACGATTTCTATGTGAATAATTTAGTTCTGTTTAAATTCACTTTAAAGTACTATTAATTATGAACTAATCGCTATGATAATGTTGTCTGTTTAAAATAATGATTAGTGTTCGGAAAACGATCTACACAGAGATTATTTTATTTACTTGTTTTATACGCTTATGGTGAAGCCTAAATAACTTATCCAAATTAATGATTTAAACATCACTGTGAACGCTAGGTTCCTCAGTAGCGACGTGAAAAGTGAAAATCCAAAAAGTTTTAAATTTGTCTTTTTCTTAAAAACAATACAGAATAAAGTCAATAAAGAATGAAGAAGAAAGAGAGAAGCGCCATCTATCGACAATTCGTAATTATTGTTAATAATTGTCCTAAAATATTTATTATTTTTATTTTTTAATGTAATTACGAAAAATATGCACGAATCACCTTAACTCATCCCTAACATAAATAAAGATTCCTCAATCCTTTTCAAATCATCCGGGTGTTTTGAAATAAATGAATACCCATCGAATCATAAATATTTTTTGTGAACTCAATTGTACCCCAAAAATGACGAAAATCTAAAAAAAAAGCTCAATAGCTACAGTATCTTTATTTTAACTATAAAATAACATATGTCGTTTCTGTAAGATATTTATTCATTTATTCATTACAAATAAATAAAAAAAACATGTAAAAGTCGGACTTAATGCCATCGCCATTATCCATCTTGTCTATATTATAATGCATAAGTTAGTCGCCAATGAAACTCCCTAAATAGAAGAAAAATTCCCTTGCGTTCAAAAATTCCCTTGCGTTCAAAAATTCACTTCCGTGAAGGAAGTCATGACAGACCTCCTGCCACAAACTGACTGTAATAAGGTAAAAGAACAAAAGCTTTAATATTCAATTATTTGTCATACAAAACTTTTTTATGTGTTCTAAATTGCTTTTAACAATTCTGCCTTTTCTTCAATCTGGCCCTCTCCAAATCTGCATATTTTCGAAAAAATTACAAACAAAAAAAATATTTCGAAGATATGTGAAGTCCGCCAATCCGCAATGGGGCCGCGTGGGGGACCAAGCCCTAACACCCTCTGTACAGAGGAAGCCTTTGCCCAGCTGTGGGAACATCAACTAGTTTGCTACACCTCCTGAACTTAAATAGAAACGCAGCTCAAAACGGTGAACGAAGAAGCGTCACCTTCATGGAAAACACGTGATGTTTACTCATAAAAAAAAACTCATATAAATGGTGGAATAAATAACTAAGAGTAAATTTGTTATATTGTATTCGTTTCACAGCGTCGCGTCGAATTTTCTGTGACTATTGGGGCATTTGGACCTTGAAAAACGGCAGGTGGAAGACACTGCGACAGGTGAGACATGTGAAGTGTAGTAAATCTCAAAATTTAATTTATTCTCATCGAATTTGTTATAGTTTCTCTGTTTCTGATGTGAAAATGGTATGTTCGGTGTGATGTTATGTTTTAAAATGAGCTTGGGAGTTGTGGATAAACGAACGTCACTAACCTCAACCATTTCTTTTTCTCTGTTTATTAACACCCATGTATAAAATCCGCTAGATACTTTTTAACAGTTAACATAATAATAATGTGTATTGATGATTATGAATGTTGGTCCCTGAGAAAATTGTATCTTTTGCCATTTTGTACAGGGTAGCTTTTTTAAAGATGCCCAAATTCACACAGGTGATTCAGACTCGGTAGTATAATCGTTTATTGAAATAAAAACATTTTTTTTCAAGAAATTGCCATTTCATTCCCTAAAAAATAGAACTTGTTGACAATGCGGTAGTCATTCATAAATGCGTCGTATACTTTTGAAACGAACTTGTGTGCGTGTTAATTATGAATGATCACGAGTAAAATAAATGAGTTGCCCATAAATCACGCACTTTGTGAGATAAATTCAAATAAATGTACCTATTTAATTAATTACGAGTGATTTTAAATATTTATCATTTTTTATATAACATTATTTATGGATACATTAGAAAAGCCTCCCTGTATGTATATTGTGCATTTAAGGAAAGCGGTAGTAGGTACCTTTTGAAATTTAGTTTTAGTTACGTGATAATGTCAGTTTAGACCGATTTGAGTCATAAGATACGGTCCTAACCGGAAAAAATAAAATTATATTATATTATATATATAAGACATTTGGTTTTTCAAGAATAGCACTAATCATTTAAAGTTTAAAGTATTACAAGTTATATAGTAGGCAAATGAAAACCGATTCAGTCTAGCTTAATTTCCCTTCGATATAAAAGTAAGCAACTGTGTACAAACTTATTGCATGCATATTGCATTATTGCATGTTATATAAATTATTATAATAACAATTGGTTCTAAGTACATACTTAATAATAACAGTGTCTAGCATAAATAGCAACGTAATATATTAGTTTAACTAAAAAAGCATAATTTTTCCATAGAATGTGCATTGCAATTTAACAAAAAACGGGCCAAGTGCGAGTCGGACTCGCGCACGAAGAATTCCGTAAAAACGAAAAAACGGCAAAAAATCATGTGTTTTTTATGGGAGCCCCACTTAAATATTTTTTTTATTCTGTTTTTTATTTGTTGTTATAGCGGCAACGGAAATACGTCATCTGTGAAAATTGCAACTGTTTATCTAACACGGTTCATGAGATACAGCCTGGTGACCGATAGACAGAAAGCGGATTGTGTTTATATACCAATGCATGGTGTTATATATGTAGGTATAATAAGTGACTCGGCTGACCAAAGTAAGCCCATCAAAACTTATTTTTCAAATTTTATTTTCACGTACCGTAGGATCGTCGTTTGCTCATTATTCATCAAAGATATTTTTTTTTATTTAAGGATGTTAGAACCCAAATCTATTTTATGCCATCTACAGGCAAAATGTGATAGTATAGTACAAAGAATCTGAGCTTTGTTATGTTTGTTGCCAGGAGTAAAAATATATTCATAATATACCTTTATGAACATCTTACAGTAATTAAAAATAAATTTACTGTTCATCATTTATTAACTTAAACATGTAGTTAGCTCATAATTATGTTAATTATGACCTACAGTTTTAAGGTGAAAAAGGAAAAATTAAAAAAGAAAAGTAAACACATATACGCAGCCGAAACAAATTCTATATTTGCAATTGCAACATTATTAATAGTTGGATCAAAATCAGACATGGCGTGCGTTAATAAGTCACCGCAAGTGTTAAATTTTTTCCTTTATTTCTGTTTAATAATAGGCTGTTATTCAAGTTATGTGAGTGCAACTCAGGAGTTAAATGAAGATAATTGGAGAGAAATCCTTAAAGGAGAATGGATGGTAGAATTGTGAGTTTTCGCTGTCACTATCACACCGGCAAATTGCGGTGTAATTTAAAAACGTGTCACTCTTTTTATGTGTTGTTTTTCTATTTTTCTGATGTAGCTAGATATATTTTGATTATTAAGATCTCCGCGTGATTCATCAGAGCTTAAGGATTTTATTCATGTGGGATGCTTGTGGGCTGTGAAACTGGCAGTGGGTTCATTAGCCATTACAAGGTCGCTAGGGTCTCAAACAACCGTTTTGAATCTATGACGCATACAACAATTGAGATCTCGTTTTTTTATTTATAAATTCGCATATTCGTTTTTAAATAATTTACTAGCTTAATGATCGCAAATTAACAGAAATCGTATTTGTGCTCTAATAATTTGTCACTGTTTTGTAAGATAGCAATATAGTTTCGTTTTAATTCATCAATAAATTTTTAAACCATTCCTTTCCTTTTTGTCCTGATAATCTTTTACCTTGACAAAATGTTTTTGTTTAAACGATACGTCATTTCTTAGTGGAGGCATTTCATCAACAGATTTTACCAAGGGTAGACAACACCGACATATGGACTGAGCTATTGATCTGAAACTGCACCTATTGAGTCATAATTGCAATCCTAGCACAACAACTGCTTTATGACTCACTCCTCAGACTGATTTAGTCGAGATATCAATGAAATTAATATTTACATCTTGTATGAAATCTGATACACATGTATTATTCTGTATTATGTATTCATTTAGTAGTAATCATTAAAAAATAACTTTACCTTGCAGTTTTTACATAAAAATTTTCTCTGGGTAAGGCACCTTTGCCTCAGTATCTACACAGGAACAAGCAGAAGAAAACTGTAAAAACATTAATCTTTTTATATGACGTTAGTGTACATATCCTAATGTATTTTTAAATTGGTAACCATATCTTCCTCCAAAGAAAATTGCATTAGTTAAACTTTTTTGTGTGTATTACTGTTACTTGTTGATATTTACTTAAACTGCATCTAGTACAGATTTCACAGTCACACTCAATAACTGATATCATGCTATATTCACGAAAAGAAGTGTGTTATGGACTTATAATATTAATTATTATAATATTGTAGAAATTAAACCATTAAACCTATGTTATTGGGAATGTTTGTTACTGATTGCCTGAATTCAATGACATTTAGCTGGATACATTTCACACATTAAAATGTGCTTTGTTCCATAAAAACTGACCACTTGTTCAAACATAATCTTAAAGATGGTACAACTCCTGAATAAATCTAGTTACAGTTAAAAAAAAGCAACATTTATTAATTTTATAAAGTGGTCTAAGCATTATTCAAAGATCCCCAGCAATGAGTAAGGCATATTAAAAGTGGCATATGTTTATAGCTACGCGCCATGGTGCCCTGCTTGCAACGCCCTCTCTTCCGCTTGGAAGGAGCTCACGGAACGAGCAGCCCGCAGGCTGCTTCCGATGAAGACGGCGGCTGTTGACGTCACAAAGTCGCCGGGGCTAAGCGGGCGATTCGTGGTGACAGCCCTGCCCACTATATTCCAGTGAGTGGACCATCTTTGCTCTGTCCGATATCACCAAATTCGAAATATCTTTACTCACATATAAACTTACGTGTTCTTATGAAACATCTAAATTTTACATGAAAATTAATACGTTCAAAAGTTACCACTGGTTCGGAGAGCAGTTTCTGTTGAGAAGAAACCAGCAAGAAACTCAAAAGTTATCTTTTTTAAAACAATTTGTCTACAATATAATAGGAGAGGTATAATAGTCTTGTTTTAGCCTATGTGTGGAGTACTTATACTCATATTGGCGTCGTCAAGATATTCTGCAATGGTATAATATGCTTTAGCCATAAGTTTACTTTTAGTTTTTCGTTTAAATTCATCAAGTGGCAGACTTGTAATATCCACTGTGGAATTTTCTTATACATTATAATTTGCCCCATGAACGACCTTCACTTTACCAACCTTACACTTATAAAAAATTTTCAGGTCTATTACTTTAAATTGGTTTTCATTACACTACCATTATATAAGACTTTTGGAGTTGACTGGGTTTTCATATATAGCTTCAATAAAATCGAAGTATCGCTCATTAGTACCACCTACTACCAATTATCACCATCCTCCTGCCCTATTCCACTCAGGTGGGCTCGACACAATACGTGAATCATGTTGTAAGCCGTTTTGGCTATGATTTTGACTCTCCAACCCTCCTTGGGAAAAAAACGAACAATTATCTTTGGGTCACACAAATACTGCGGAATCGAACCCACGACGCTGACGCCAATAGGTTAGCAACGGCGCCCAAAGATTTTGCTATCGGTAGATTGTGGATAATATCGATTTAATGTACCACCTAAAATCGATATTTTCTACAAAATTCGAATAAAGTTAACGTATGTTGTTTTACCAATTGTTGCCACATTCTAATCTAGTAAAAGGGACGACCTAATAAAAACCCAACCTCTTTCTAATTTCGCATAAAAATACGATTCTCTTTTTCAAGACATAGTCGGAGCGTCTACAATGTACTTTTCTTTATCTAAACGCCTTGAGGCGATTATCATACATTAGCATCCTCCTCCATTTATGGAATGTTTTCAATGTAAACTCCTTTCTATACGTTTTCTTTTTATATCTTTTTCGTTAAAAACACTCCATCCATTGTAGTATTATGTATATAGTACTATGTTAGGCTATAACGATATATTAGGTTCACAGATTACACATGGACAGACACCAAACAATTGTCTGTCATATAAATGCTTCCCGTGTAGTAATCGTCAACGGAATCATCATCTAATATTATAATTTGGGAATTATGTGAACGAGAAGATATTTAAAATATAAAACTAAACACTACACATTATTTTTTTATGCGTAAAGTTTCCAAGCACCTGATGTTACGTGATTACCGCCGCCCATGGACATCAACAAAACCTGACGAGTTTCACCAATCATTAAAAGTATGGGCGTCTCCCCAGACAAAACGATAAAGTAAGTAATGCGCTGGTCTTCAGCAAGTATACAGAGTGTCTTTACAATTGCGCCAATAAATTAACACACATATAGTGGATAAATTTTTAAAATTGTACTGAACATTTACATTCTTTAAACATCAATATTTACCGAGTTATTAAATTTTACAAAACAACGAATTTTAGACAATCCTAACGTGTTGCAAACTGTTTCATACACAGTTATATTTAACATTTATTAAGAAAATGCAAAAGTGAATGCAAGAAAGTGCATCTTGTACATACAGCAAACAGTTTACAATCCGAAGAAAGAGGAATTTTAATGAACATTTTCCTGTTCCCTAGCGTCAAGGATGGTGAATTCAGGCAGTACAAGGGCCCCAGGGACTCGGAAGCAATGCTTTCCTACGTGGAGCAGGAGCGATGGAAGAGCGTGGAGCCAATATCCGCTTGGAAATCCCCTGATTCTTTCCAGATGAGCCTCGTGGCGTATTTCTTCAAACTTAGCCAATCCTTACGGGTGAGCACTTTAGTCAATTTGACTTTCATAATCATTATGAAATTTTTAAATAAGGTTGCTGTTACTTATATGGTCATGCACCTTTATTTTCACTACTTTGCAGATGAAAATGACTGCAATGTTTACTGCCTATTTGACCTTTTTCTGTTCTTGTACTAAAAATGTACATTTTCCATAGAATTATTTAATATTTATGCATTAAGGTTGAGGAAGCAAACTTTAAAATGTTTGTAACCTTATTAATATTCACATATATAATAGCAAAGCCTAAAGAAATAAAGCATTGTTTTATTTTTCAACAACAAAGACTTCCATCAAATATTTTCAAAAACAAGCATTGAGTGCAAGGAAACTCTGTCCTATTGACTTATCTCGTGTTCTGATACTCGCCAATGTAGTGACGCCAAACAAATTTACAATATAGGTAAACAATAATATCATCAATTATTATTGAGACATAATTATCTTTTGAATTAACTTGTCCCACAATGAATCGAAGCAATGTGCCACACTCCATAAAATAGTCTAAATATAATGTAATGAAATTTTGTATTCATATTGTTTCAGAGTGTACACACTATGCTAATGGAAACCTACGGGCTGCCCACTTGGGGGTCATATCTCATCTTTGCCCTGGTCACAATATTAGTTGGGGCCCTTCTTGGACTGGTGAGTTCTTTGTAATGTCATTATAAAATATGCAAATGTTTATGAGCAATCATTTATGTAACTGATTACACTGTTGAATATCAAGGCTTTGATCTTTTATTTAAACGAAAATGTAGACCTTCATCTTAATTTAAGGCTTAAGCTATCTGTGAGGAGCTTAGAAAACGGTGGTTATTGTCTTCAGCTTACTTTAAAAAAGTTTGTATTCTGGTAGGTTTTACTTTAAAATAATCCGCTGGTCTGGCGAAGTATCACATACCCTCATCGAAGACTGTATAGACTAAAAGTATTGGTATTTCGTTTTTTTATGAGTGACAGGCACATTCTTTATGCACATTCTTAACTGTATCTTTGCAGATTATTTGAGTGTACCATACCTGCAGAGTATTTTCAACGGCAGTAACCGCAACTGTGGGAACATAGCTTGGAATCAAGTGTAACTTTTTCTAAATGTGCGATGACTTCAATGTAATGTGACAACTTCGACTATCTCTCAGATCCTGGTCTGCGTCGTGGACTTACTGTACCCGCCTCAGCGCTCCGAGAAGGTGATGGTCACGCGCGAGGAAGCCGAAAAGCTTAAGGCCCAAGCCAAAGCCGACAAGTCCGATGAGGAAGAGGTATTTTCTTTATTAATTATATGCTCTCTGTGGACGCTTTGAGTTTGATGCATGTGCTGATTTTCATTAGTTTTAATTTAGCTTGTACAGTTAAATGGATGGAATTTAAACACTTCAGTGACATTTGGGATAGTGAACGGTTGTTTAAAGATTAAGTAATTATGATAAAAGTATGTGTGTGCTTATGTTTACACGTAAGTTATACTTCTTTTGGGTAAAGATATTAAACGCAATTGATAACGGTTTATTTATATAACTTTGAATTGTCTATGTCTAAAAGTTGTTATTGGTTGCCATGATAATTCCGTGTCCCCTCCATTACGTCGCATTTTGCGGGTCGGTGTTCGCGCGCGATCGTCAAAATTTTCCTCTCATATTTTTTCCAAACGCGCCAAAAGAAGTATAACTTCAAAAAAGCAATAACATATCATATAGCATTAACGGTACGTATATTCTCATTTGAGTTTAGGGATTCGAAGAAGGAGTATTTTGACCATTTTATGAAATATTTATCTGTTATCTCATAAAGTCTGTTTTATTCACAGTTCTTTATACAATATTGGATGAAACAGATTTCTCGTGCCGAAAATATTTCATTTGTCAATAGTGTTGGTTGAATATTCTCTTTGTTTTCGCACAGGAGCTAATCAACGACGACATAGTCGACGACGCGGAGAATTCCCAGAACAGCGATGCCGAGAAGAACTCTCAGAGTAATGTAAGTATCAACAAGTTTTGTTACGTAAGTATTTCGATATGTTAGACAAGGATAGAAGATACCCCTTTGCCAACCCAAAGTGGTGTTGATACCGATCAAGCACATTTATTAACAAAATCAACCTCAAATGTCTCATTTACAATACTTCTTGCTGCTGGTCCACTGGACTACTTTGAGCTGGTGGTCCCCCTGATGTTAAGTGATACTTGAAACAGTCGTAGTGTTATAGATGCGTTGCTACCTTTTAATATAAAGGCCCTCAATCACCAGACGAAACATAGAAGTCTACACTTCCACTTCATGCCGGTCTTCTGTGAGGTCGCGGTACTTACCCACTACGCTGTTGCATGGTTCTACCACAGTTATAGTTAATATCGTTGAAAGTATACCGATGTGATGTTGGAACTCCCCTAAATTAGTCATTTATTGGTGCCTTCAATAATTCGATTGCAATGTTCCCAGACGGAGGACGAGGCGCAACCGAAGGCCGAGGGCTCCGGCGACGACAAGCAGTGCGAGGTGCGCAAGCGCCGGCCCAGGAAGGCGGACTAGGGCTCCGCTGACGTCCCACTGATCCGCTCTTCCCCATGCATTTACAACCAGCGGTGCCCGGATAAGCCCGTGTGAAACCAGTCGATAAAATTAGTTTGAAATGATGCGGATTATTAACGCTAAATGTAATCTCATCTCCGTGTACCGTTTCGCAATTTAGATGTATGTACTGAGTTTGAAAGCTTTGATGTAAATTCGTGTATAGGCCGCGCTAAAGGTAAGTCGACTCCGTCGAACTGCGCCTGGTCCGTCGTGCGTGAAATTCGTTCAAAAAACTAAGTAATAACTGAAAAGACCGGATCCCTGTCTTCGCGCCTGTCCACCCTGTTGTGGGAGCGAGATGGAAAGCTATTTGCACTGAGAGGCGAACATTAGGACCATGCTCTGCGAATAAGTGTACACATAGACTGCACTTTAAGTTGCATTTGAACATATTAATTGCGCGGTTTTTACTCGTAGCCCCATCTAGCGTCGGAAAGACGATTGTATTACGAAAGACTGCCTTTGTCTCGTACCGAGTGCGCTCAAACAGATGCATTTTTTTACTATATCGTTTTGTAGACATTCTCCTGTTTGGTATTATGTCGTGGTTTTAACGAATTTGCACGGTAAAACCACATTCCTTAAGCCGCATTTTTTGACTACATAGCTTTTATCAAGGATTCGTTCAATGTCCATATTTGCTAGACGCCATCTTCAAACGCGTAGAACACCAGCAAAATAGCGTCAAATTGACCGTTAAATCTATTTTGTCCTAGGAAACTTGGCCTGCTACGACTTAGTTTATAAACGCAACTTTAAGCTATAAAGTTGGCTATAAAAATTATTTCTCTTATTAATACAATTTAACTTTTAGAACCAAAATCTAGTGTATTCCTTAACGCTAGAATATTAGTAGTTATTTGACGTATGATTTAGTCTCTCTTGATGTTTTTCAGTTGGAAGATGTATGCGCTGTTGCGAAAGGTGTTGACAATTGCTCAGCCCTTGAGAAACCTTTAGTTCCGTTTATAATCGACACCGCACTACGTACTTACGAGATTATATAGATTTTTATTATTTTTTACTATGGAAAACGCATTTTATATGACTGTATGTTATAAATTACATAGCCTTTAGATATTCGTTCGTTCGATCTAACCGTACTTAGTCGGAGTCTAACGGTATTTTATGTCTAGTTTATTAATATATTGTAATGTTTATGGCGTTGATAATATTCTTTATTTAGACGTTTAAAGTTGCACAAAAGTTAATGTTTTAGTGAGTTTGGGCACGTTTGCTTTTATATGTATGAATTGTATCAATTTCAGTGCAGTCGAAATATACAAAACTTGTTATATACCATTATAAATATATCCACCTCTGTAATATTGGACACATTTAAAGTTTGTTAGTTGGCTTCTATTAAAACATGTTACATGTCATGTTTTTTTTTATCCTACAAATTTGCCTTGTAAAATGACTTGATTGTTTTAAAAGTTGCCGCAACATATATTAACTAACTATTGAATTAGTGATTCGCTAAATAAAATGTATTTATATATTGCTCTTTCATTTACTGCTTTAATTATACCTATACCCCCTAACAACATTATGGTGTCAAATAGTTAGTAATTATGATATTGACTATTTGACTTTACGTATTTAACCATATAAATATGATTATATCACGTTTATTAGATGTAATTAGCGTCACTTCTTACTGGCAATTAAAGCAACACCACGTAACGAGTGCATAGTAACACTTCATCCCTCGATCACAACCCCATCTGAATTTATTACAAACATACCATTTGACTTTTTGCAACTCTGTATTTATTGAGTTTGCCTACGCAGTTGCATAACTTACGCCCGGTTTCTGAAACACTGAACATCGTAGATGTTAATTAATCAGCTGTCAATGGCTTTTCAAATTTCATTTTAGTAGCCAAAAGGAAAGGATGGTTAAACTCTCTGAATTGACCAGCATGATCAATGATCTTAATAATCAGAATGGTCAATTCGAAGCAATCAGTGTTTCCGAAAACTAAGATTATATTCGCTTACAGTATTTAATAAAATTGACATAATAATATGTAAAAGCCTCGTGTATTAATCTTCAAAACTTTTTTTACATGTTACCACTAAAACAAATCGTTTTTAAAGATATTACCAGTGTGTTTCGTGATTCTTTCCAATTATTTTAGCTTCTCGTTATCGATTCTGGTGGAGACTACGGAAACAAAAATTAGCATGCTGCGTTTATCTTTGATGGTGAATTTAAATTAATATTGTAGTCTTTTCAATATTATTAATACTGCATCGGTATTAATAATATTAAAAAAGAACTTTCTTACGAAAATACAATCAAAGTAGTACTGGTACTACTTTTTTCTTCTTTTTAATTCATCTTATTTACTTTTTTTGCACAAACATGAAAGATGACACACAAACACAAACTACTCGATACGATTTGATTTATATTTTATACCCCGGCATCTCAATGTAGTTCGCCAGACATAAAGAACTTCTGTATCTCAAAGTGGTCTAAAAAATAAAAACCAAGTCTCATTCAAATGTCTCTTTATTCACGTATTTACATAAAAATAAAAGGTAAGTGAGATAATTTCATGTCGTCGCTATGTATATTAGTAAATAATTTAAGATTTAAATACAAATAAGATACACAAGGATTAGCGTGTTCCGATACAATGAAGAAGAGACTTAACAAATTGTTCGACGCTAAGATAACAGTAGAATTCGAAATATAGATTATAGAAGGGAAGATATCGTAATCATATTGTTACATTGAATTTTCACTTCGTATAGCCAAAACTACGATTAAAGTGTTACGAATGCTATATTGTATAATTTACACAATATCGTATAACGAAAATTGGGATGAACCTCAAAAAACACTTGGTCTAAACGTTCACAAATACATAAATGGAAAATCAGAAAAAGGGAACATGGGGTAGGGGATTAATAAACAAATCATTGGAAGCGGATATTTTATTGTCGAGATTCAAATTCATGTCATATCCTCGAATGTTGGATGGAAACACCTCACATTCGTACGCGCGATGCATGACGACGATCCCTAAAACAGGTTCCGTATAAACTTTTTTCGAATAGGTATTTCATTGATGCAAAAACAAATACCATTACGGGGCAGCAAAACATACAGACAATAACTCAAGAAAGATTTGTTTCGTAACTGAGACATAGGCTATATTATATTTCCCTAAAATAGAGACGGATTTGTCGCGTACGTCGACTTAAATTTAGGAACCGCCGGTAATAATATTCACACGCTTAAATAAACTAATTATTTCATCGGGAGAACGAATCGATTGCGGATCGGGTCTTTGGATAGTTCAAACTAGCCGAAACGTTCGTATTGCGAACGCAAAGTGGCCGCTCAGCGACGGTGGGTGTCCGTTTTACCGACGTGGACTGGATACATTATGAATTCATTGATATCTATACAACCCAAAGTTGGCGATTGAAAAAACTTCATGGATATATAAAAGCGAAGCGGACAGAAATAAAAAAAAATGTGCGAAGGCGCATATATGAAGGTGAATGGTGAGAATCAGAAGTTTGTGAAAGACGCAACTGCAGACTATTGAGAAATTTTACTTTTGAAACAAAAGGAAGCAAATGTGATGCAGCAAAACCTTTTTTTATGTCTGAAAATGAAATAAAACACCCATAGTTACATAAATAAATAAATAAATATTTAGGGACATATTTATACACAACAGTTCAATATTTAGTTCCAAACTAAGCAAAGCTTGTACTATGGATAATAGGTTATTTATAAACATACTTTTCTTTTGTAAATAAATACCTAATATAGATATAGAATTACTCAGTCACTAGAAAAACACTATGATCACCACACAGTATTTTTCCAGTAGTGGGCATCGAACCCACAGCATGTGGCGCAAGAGACATGGTCACTACGACCATTGGGTTTTCAAACACCACTACCAAATATAAGCGCAAGCTGACATTAACTATCCACTCATTAACCGGGGTTGAGGTAGACTTCAATAATTAAATATCCGATTATTTAGACATCAGTATTTCACGGGTGGACTTGTTCATTATTAATTAAATGTACAGTCTAAATCGACTCTAATCGACTGTTTTACCAACGCGTCCCGACCAACTGTTTTACCGACGTGCTAAGCGAAACAGATGGTAAAACTGTTCGAACCCACAGCCACCGAGCGGCGCCGAGCCTAGCCGAATACGGAGATGATACACTTAACCTAAAAAAATCTCGGTTTCCTAAGCGAGCGTTGTAAAGCATCCTTACAAAAAAAAATACACCGTACAAATGGACCGAAGAATCCTAGACAGGCGTCGCGGTCGCGTTATACAAAAAAAAATCAAACAAAAAGACTAGATTGTTAAAAATAATTACATCAATTAATAATACAGCTATTATTATACCTTACATTTAAATAATACATAATCACAAAACAGATGAGAATTCATGTGACAAAACGAAACACGCGATCAGAGGATTTTATTAGGTAAGCAGACAATATGTTTCACATGTGTGTGTGTTTATATATGTGTAAATATACATACTACATTGGTATGACTGAAAGCCTTAAAACAGTCCGGCATTGATAATTGCTCACTAACCTAGCGGAGGCGAATTGACTTGCGAATTAAAACTACCACGCATACGAACGACCGTTGCGAACAACTGTTAACTCACTCCCTAACAATAAATACGAACTCTTCACTTAAAATTACGAATTATCGTTACAAATTAAAAAAAAATACCGAGTGAGATATACATTGCGTACTTTCGCTTATATAGGTGGGCCGATTATGCATTAAGATGTTTTTAAGATTTAACTTTCTAGAAACAACCGTACAACGCGTTGTAAGCAACTTAAATCACTATAATATATGTGTTATCTACTTAGTTAAGATCGATAGTCTCTGAAGGAACAAAAAAGGCCGTGGATGCATTAGGATGGTGGATATTTCCGCGAACTGCTCGAACCAGTAGGGGTGTATTTTAGGGGGGGGTAAAGAACTAAAACCGCCAAAGCAAAAAAGTGCGTGCTGACGTATAAAAACAGCGGGCAACGGGTCCACAATTGACATCGAAAAGATCACTTACAAACTAGTTTTTTCGCATAACGCATGCGGTGAGTATTATATAACGCGATAGGGTATGGCGCGAAACGTGCTTGCGGCGGGCGCGAAGACTTTGGCCGTGTCCACCATTTATAGGGTAGGGGTGGGGGGTTGTATCTGGCTCTCTTTCTCGCCGCGTTCCAAATCGCTTCCCGTCCCGCTCTCGCCGCGAACAGCGCACGGTGCTTGCGCGCACATTCATTTTCGAACGCTGAGGTATGAGGGGTTGGGGGAGGTATCGAGGTCTCTTTCTAGCCGCATTCCAAATCGCTATCGTTGTCGCTTTTTCAGCGCTAGATGGCGTAGCGGTGGCGACTTAGCGCGTAAAAGTTTCGCGCCCGCTCGCAAGTAAGGCCCTTGCAGCACACACACACTTTCCGAAACGGACAAAGAGTAGACGCGGCCATCTACGTAAACCACAGCTACTTATAAATATTCCGCCACTACTCCCACCGCATTTCGGGGATTATCTTTTGCACGTTCATTTCATATATTTTTCTTTATTATGGCCATAAAATATTACTTAACCCAAGCTCTATATATTAACCAATGACTTGTACAATTTAGACGGCGTATAAACAAATGGCTTTCGAGATTCAAACACGCGATCTTAGTATTGGCCACTTTGTAGCCAATAGTACACCTCGAAAAATTCATCCAACATTATTATGGCAGTTTTCGTAGATGGCAGCGGCGACGCAGCGCTAGTGACGGACGATCTGTGTCGGTACGCCCCGTACTGGATCGGTCCATAAAGGACAGTAGTATGAGTACCAAAACACATTTGCTATAGCAAAATATCTACCGGAGCGTGACAATTTTCGAACACAAAAATACTTACAAAGTACAGATCGTAAGATGAATTCAATAGCCTTTTAGCTTCGCGTACCTTGGCGATAATTCGGTACTGTGCGTACAACACATAACGGACCGAATTATCATTCCAAATTTTACCTTCGCGTACCTTAACCACAATTCGGTACGGTGCGTACCGAACACAGCGTACCGCCGCGGCAAAGCTAATTGACCTCAACGCGCTCAACTTCACAACAGCTCCTATACAAATATCTCAACATTACATAACATCATTATTTATTATCCTTACAATGGATGGCTCTCGTGAGCTGGCGCCCAATAAATATAAAGCGATATCAATTTCACTAAATCTCGTAGGAACCCAATTGAAATGAAACCGCAATTGTTATGAGAAGCGTACGCACTCGCGTTTTTATCCGTAAACGATAGTTAGAATATCATTTTATAATTCTAATATTTCCTCTACGCCTTACCAGAGACCATTCACCGAAATTCAGCGGATATCCCCTTTTCCGCCGAGGTACGAAAACGCGCACGTAACGGACCGCAACTCTTTGCCTCATGATACACTGACTTCAAATAAGTTGCAACTTTACATATTACATAAGTACAAATGAAGCGCATTGCGATACACAAAAACACAGTCGAGATCCAATTGCGAACGTCACCGTCCTATTGCTATCAAACGACGAAAAAAAAAAACGAAACTCGCGCCTTTTTCGCTGTCACAGTGACAGCTCACCGAACATTAAATCGTTGTCGAAATAAAAACGAAACTTTTGCGCCTTTTTCGCTGTCACATTGAGAACATAGCGAACATTCAACCGTTGTCGAAAAAAAAAAAAAACGAAACTTTCCCGCCTTTTTCGCTGTCACTGTGAGAGCATGGCGAACATTCAACCGATGACGAAAATTTCCCGCCTTTTTCGCTGTCACCGTGACAGCTCAACAGTTCCGATGAAGCGAATAAAAGCAATCGTATAACACTAGCCTCGTGATGGACGCCGGCGATATACCGCGCACTTTATTTTCTAAATATATTTTTTTTCTATATGTATATAAGAATCAACGCGTCCCGTTAATAACGCTTACAATACAATCGTATATAAAACAATCTGTGAAGCGGTTTGTTCGAGTTGGCTGGGACACGGGCTGGCGGATAGAGGGTTCGATTTGAGGGCCTCAGCAGAAGCACGCGTAGAAACGCGACACGTCTATCCCCCAGTAGGTGTCCAGCTGGTTTCTGCGAAGAGAGATTGCTCGAGTTATTTTTTTTTATTTTATCTTACTGGTTTAGAAAACAAACACATAAAACAAGTGAGTTTACATACATTCCATAGTCACTTTGCATTTGAAGTGTACAATTTTACATGACAATATTTATCTAACGAACATAGATCATGTTTCAGATGAAAAACATGCACAAATCAATACAGACCACGATTTACACACTTGACAGCCGTGATAGCTCATTGTCCTTTTAATTAAATATACTAGTTACTAGAGCAACCCGAGTTCGATCCACGGTGTCGCGTGGTGGACTATGTCCTAATACCCTCTATACGAAGAAGGCCTTTGCCCAGCAGTGGGACATATATAGGCTACTACTTGAATTGTTCACATGACTATTTATTATCCGTTTAAATTGAGGCAAAACATCAATCACCAAAAATATCGTATGATTACAATTTCAATGCCGCGGTACTTCCCCGGAAGGAAGCTTCTGTGTGGTAGGAAATGGAGGGAATACCAGAAAATGGTAGGAATCAGTAGGATACGGTAGGACGGTAGGAGGTGGTAGACACCGGTAGGAAGTGCCAATCAGCTCACCATCAGGGATCCATGGGGTGCGGCGGAGAGGCGCCGCAGCTGCTGTCCTCGGAGTGCAAGCCCTCGCCCATATCGGTGCCCACCTGGAATTACCCCGTTCGAATATAACGGTAAAAAGGGGAAAACAATAGCAAAAGAGGTATGAATTTAAAACACTAACAAACAATACATAAAGAAATTTGTTATTTAATTAATATACAGCGTGTCTTTACAATCGCGACAATAAATGAACACACATGTTAGCGGATAAATTTTTAAAATTGTATTAACATCTACGTACTTTAAACATAAATATTTAACGAGTTCTTAAATTTTCCAAAACATCGAATTTTAGAACACCCCTTCGTATAAAACTATAACGTAAAGTTCATTTGTAAAGGTCACAAAGCATATGAATGGGTTGAATGAATTTGAAAGAGACAAAATATACTGTTAGAAGGAGAGGCTTGTAATGCGACGCTGTGGCGCGAGTTGTATAATGGATGTTACAGAGTTTGTTTCTTTTTACTTAATTAGTTTGTTTGAAAACCATTTTTTTTTAATTATGGTTTTTTTTAACGTTAATATTTTTTTATGATTATTGGTAAGTAGCGTTAGACGTGTGTTCATTTATTGTCGAAATGGTAACGACACGCTGTATAACACGTATTAGAATACGTGTTATATATCAATTAAATAACTAATTTTAAGGCTACTTAGTTTGTAAAAAGCAAGAAATAAAAACGTATGATGTATGTACGTACTTATACACACACACGTAAGAATTTACACTTCTTTAGCGTAACAAAAAAAAATAATAAAAATCCCTGTGTCTACTCTTTATCTGTCAAATATATTCAATTATCTTTATATGCAATTAATAACATTTTAATTAAAAAAATATGTAGTTATTGGTAAATGTTAAAAAGTCGTTATACGTTGTCATAGTAACATAGTAACATTTGGTGTCACGCATCTTAAAAACTAACTGTTATCGTTTCTCCCAAACGTGCCAAAGATAGTGTAACTTCAAAAAGGCTTTATTATTATTTAAACTTAAATCGATTTTTGTTTCATATTTTACTTCGAAATTCTTCGATATTCCCAACGAGGGTTGACGTCTGGTCGGCAAAAGCTACAACTAGTACAAAGGTTATTAAAATTTCAGAGGACAAATAAGAAAAACATATTGATAAATTCCGATATGTTTTCGATCAATTTGCATTCAACCGGAACTAAATTAGGTTTCATGCGAAGTTTGGTTTTAAACACTAACGCCCGATTTCTGAAACACTGGTCATCGTAGAAATTAACTAAAGAGCTGTCAAATGGCTTTTCAAATTTTATTTAAGTTGCCAAAAGGATGGTTAAACTCTCTGAATTGATCAGAATGATCTTCCTAATGATCAAAATGATCAGAATGATCAATTCAAATAGTTTATAACCATTTTTTTAGCAACTCAAATGACATTTGAGATGCCATTTGACGGATGATTAGTTGACATCAACGATGATCAGTGTTTCAGAAACCGGGCGCAATAAATACGAAAAGGCAAAACCTAATATGCATGCAACATTTATTACCGAGCACTTTAGCTATTTATGTGCTAAATGTGTGGGCAGACGGTGACGTAGAAGAGAAGAGAATGGGCTCCCCACCTTGAGAACGTCGTGCAGCGAGCTCATGCTGCCCAGGCTCAGCGGGGTGATGGAACGTTCCAGAAGCAGCGAGCCGCTGCCCTGGGATCCGCCTCCGATCGACCTACTCACGGCATAAACCAAACCTCTATACAACAAGCAAGTTCAAATAACTAATATTCTAACAGTATAAAGGAGAAATAATCTCTATGGACCGTGGGTCACATAATACATGAAGATAAAAATGATTTTCGTTTAATTTGTACCATGGACCACACAACAGTTTTGGCCGTTGCACGAATGGGCAGCTCCATCCGGGTAAGTAGCACGACCTCACAGAAGACCGGCGTGAGGTTTCGTCTGGTGAGTGAGTTAGCCGGGGCCCTTTATTCAAAGGCGGCGATGCATTTGCAACACTACGGGTGTTGCAAATTTCCGTGGGCGGCTTTTATCACTTGACATCAGGTGAACAACCAGCTCGTTTGCCACTTTCTCACATAAAAAAAAACATACACAAAATGTCCGATATGATTAATCCTGACTTTTGCCACGTTGCCGAGTCGAAACGCGATCGTTTACGGTAGGGAAGTTGTATAACTTAACAAAGCATTAAGAATGCAATAAGAAAGAACCTAAATGCATATAGATGTCGAGATTTTCACGCCGTGATCTCGTCGCCAGTTCAGCTTAGTTGGTAAAGCGTCTGGGCGTGAAATGCGAAGAAGTTCGAATCACGGAACAGCGAAAGTTTTGTTAACTTATATACAAACATTCACAATTTAAATTATCTGCAACTTCTCAGATTGAATTGGGCTTTTTCAATATCTCCGTATTTAAAAGTTCATGCGAGTCGGTAACCACTTAAGCAAAGGTGACTTGTTCAATTTTTTATAAAAACAACACCATAATAGTTTAGTTATAACATTTTTGTTAAGGACGAATGGCTTCCTCTGAAACAGGTGCTTATGTACCTAATAGAGAAGTCGACACTTAAATTGTAGAAAAAAAAGTGAATTGAATGAACATCTATTTCTTTTTTGTTGGATACATTTTTGCACAACGTTTTCTAGTCACAGACTAAGCAACGCTTGTACTATGAGTACTAGATAACTGACAAACATACTTAAACATATTTTTCTTTTGTAAATAAATACATATTATAAATATACAAACACCCAAACACTGGAAAAACACTATGTTCATCACACAATATTTTATCCAGTAGTGGGATCGAACCCACACCCTCGCCCTCGCCATTCGGGTCGTCAAATTTCGTTTTTATTTTATTTTTATATTAGATACCTGTCCATTCCCCGGGCCATAGTTTCGGCCGCGCCATCGGTTGTGTCCCTTCGCCTCCAGGAACCTGAAACATGACAAAGTTATATATTTCTTACTAGCTGTTGACCGCGGCTTCGCTCGCGCGGCCTAAGGGAATTAACAATGCGTTATTTATTATACACCAGAATATCTGGTAGATGAACTTTTTCCTACTTAGTTGACACTTATCATTGCCTACATTTAGGACAATTCACACAATATCTTTATAAATTATAGCCTATGTGTTATTCTGATGTATAAACTACATTATTATAGTTTCATTAAAGTCCGTTCAGTAATATTTGTACGAAAGTGTAACAAACATCCATCCGTACATACAAACTTTCGCGTTTATAATATTAGTAAGGAAGTAAGGATTAGTCCTCACAAACCTAAATCATCTTTAAACGCTCTGTCTCTCTCTATTAGTGCTACAGAGATAACGTTCTATCTATGAAGTCAAAAGTGGCCGATTATCTCTTTCATTGATGCATACATACTTTAGATACGGTTGCTAAGCGATTATCGTTATAATGGTTATCCCAAGTCCGAAGCGTACGATTTATTGCATAATACAGTTTGTAATGGGGTATACGGAACGACTCTCTACACTACTCTTTTTTGCGCCGCGGTATTATATCGCTTTCTGTCTCGCTCCCACTATGTGTATGTTTGCAGTCAATGTTGCCATTCGGTGTCCTGCACGTACACGTTTGAGAGACACTTGAGTAAAAAAAAATGTAAACGTTTTTCACATAAAAGAAAAAAACATCCAAAAAGCGCCAAAAGTAGAGGTCAGTCTGTGGTTTTTGTGAGAAAAATACAAATCCACGTGTCTTACGCACATCGTTTATATCTATGGACACCAAAACTAGACCATTGTAATTGTGAGGCAATCTTCAGATTGACCTAAGGGGGGGGGGGGGGGGGGGGGGGGGGATCCAGTGAAGTTCAGTAGCAATCGGATAAGAAAACATTGTGTGGTGCGTGCGTGCGTGCGTGCGTGTGTGCGTGCGTTTGTGTGTTTTGTGTTTGGACGCAAAACAATGGGAAAACTATCGTTTGTCGCTTTTGTATGGAGACTCTGACTCAGAATACAATTCTTTGTATTTGTCCTTGTATTCGCCCACCGTTGTACGAGCCGGTGCCGTGCGATATCGTCAGCGGCGAGGTCCGTTTGCTGCTCTCCCGGCTGCCGTACATCTGCGGATACGGATTTCGTTTTAATGATAATCACAGGTCGTCGACTGTACGAGCGGCACTGGCAACGCCAGATATCCTGTTAATCAAGGGTGTCGACTGTATGAGCTGCTCTAGCGGACACTGGCAACAGTAGAGGTCACTGGCAAATCATTGTAAGCGTGTTTCCAACCGCTGATAGACTACATGACGTTATGATGATTCGTGCTATTTTTTTTTTCTCAACTGCGTTGTCCCACTTGCCGGGCAAAAGGTTTTCTAGTTCCATATATTTTCCCCCTTAAGTGATTACGTTTCATCGATCCTCCTGCCAAGCCAATGCCCGGTTTCTGCAGCACTGATCATCGTGGAAGTCAGCTAATCGGCGTTCGAATGGGCTTCGAGATGTCGCCGGGCCCCACCTGGCGGCGGTGGTGGTCGTCGGCCGTCTCGAGCGTGGTGGGCAGGTCGAGCAGCCGCTGCGAGCGGATGCCGTCGCCGGGGCCCATGTGCGACACGTGCGCGAAGTTGCTCGGCGCGGAGATCAGCCGCGACCGGCGCTCCGACCTGCGGACGCCGCGCGACTCATTGCTCCTTACTAAGCTCCATTCGCGTACCGGCCCTGCGGCCGTCGCGCGACTGGGGATGACCTTCCCTTGGTCGGGGGGGGGCAAATCTTCGAAAGATACACTGTCACTTTACAAGACGGGGTTGTGTGGGGGTTCTTACCCACTGAAAACCCCTCGTTGGCCAACTTGCGCACATTTGGAGGGACTCCGGGACCTCCCATGGAACGCACCGGTGTCCCTCGGTACTACTGAGCCTGAGCACGCCTCGCGGAAAGATAAACCTGCTCCGATTCCCTCACCCGCTTGCAGCAGCGCGAGACCACTTCGCGCTGCTGCCCATCCGTGTCCACTTTTATTCGCCTTTTAGGACAGGCAGGGGATACATTAGCCCTATTCTATAAGCCCGGGACTATACTATTGGGCTGGAATGAGGATAACCTAACCAAGAAAGCACCATCATTATCATCATATCAGCCGTAGGACTACACCCAACGTGTCCCTGCGACCTTAGCTAGGTCGTCCGTCCACCTTGTGGGAGGCCTCACGATACCCTCAGAGAATGCCGGCGTGAAACGCGAGTACAATACTTTCGCGTTGTGTCTTCGGAGTGAGGTTACCGGGGCCCACTATTTTGGTAGTTGGCAACGTGTGTTGTATGTGTCAATCTATACAACATATAAGAAAGCTCACAATCTGTTGTGCGCCTCTATCGCCTGGTGGGACTGCTCGCGAACGGAGAACCTCCGCTTGTTCGTCCCCCAAGTGGTCGCCGTTTCGATGTTCAGGGGGCCCTCCGCTGAAACGGATAAGCCTTCATTAAACAGCTACCAAAATAGTCGACGACAGACCTAATAGAATAACAAACGGACAAGTAGAAATAATAAAGACGGCGTGACGGCCCGAGTAGCTCACAAACGAGGTTCAGATTAGGTCAGTGGATCTATTAAGGCCCCTGAGGTCTCCAGTCATCGATCCAAATAAGACAAGGAAAAAAAAACGGATGGAGCAGACAGCAAAGTACACAGCCAAGAAAAGAAATAAAATGTCATGCACTTATGTACGCGCGTGAGAAGTTATAAAAAAAAGGTTAATGCATGCACAATAAAATAATAAAAAAGACTGAAAAATTATATGAATAATAAAGTTATGTAAGCGCCATCAACACTATTGAGAAATGTGACGGGCGAATGTCATTGCGACTATACTGCCATATACAGCGTGTCGTTACAACCGCGACAATAAAATTACATGAACACACATCTAACGCTGCTTGAAAAATATAAAATCTTAAAAAATATCCATAATTAAAAGAAATATATTTTTCAAACAAATTAATTAAATAAAAAAGAATCAAATTTTTTAACACCTATTCAACTACAACTGACTGATTCATAGATTCAAAGACATTTTCATTGGTTGCCATTCATTACAAGCCTCTCCTTCTAACAGTATGTTTTATCTCTTTTAAATTCATTCAACTCATTCATATGCTTTGTGACCTTTACAAATTAACTTTACGTTACAGTTTTATACGTAAGGGTGTTCTAAAAATGTTTGTTTTGTAAAATTTAATAACTCGGTAAATATTGATGTTTAAAGAATGTAAATGTTTAATACAATTTAAAAAATTTATCATCTATATGTGTGTTAATTTATTGTCGCAATTTTAAAGACACGCTGTGTAATATGCGGTTTAGCTTCAAAGGCGTTACTTTTGCGTTACACTGCGCATCAGTGTAACGCAAAAGTAACACCTTAAATTTCACTCTCATCATTATTTCATAACGCGCCTAAAGAAGTATAACTTCAAAAACAGCGCCTTTCCACATAGTCAAGGAAAGAAACAAAGAGAAAAGATATCTCCGTCCCACTCACGTGCGAACAGCGGGCGCAGGTAGACGATGAAGGGGGCCGAGTCGGTGGAGAAGGGGAATCCGTTGTTCCCGCCGCCGCCCACGCACACGATGTGGCCCGCCTCGTCCAGGGGACGAGCGTTCGCTGGGGACGCGAGGTTTTTTTATTATTATACATAAATATTTCGGGACACGTTTTTAGCCGACTTCAAAAAGGGAGGAGGTTTCTCAATTCGACCGCATATATTTTTTTTTTTTGGTGTGTTCGTGGATAGCTTCGTCTTTTATGAATACGATTTTGATGATTCTTTTTTTTTTGTTGGAAAGGAGATATACCAAGGGTGGTACCATGATAAGGAAACTCAGATCTGATAATGGCATCCCAGAGAAATCGAGTGCCATTGAATGTTATAGGTATTAACAATGTTTTTAATTTTCTGATTGACGTTTTTTTTTTTGTTAAAAATTATTACACAACCTTCTCTAGTCCCGAACTAAGCCTGTACTATGGGTACTAGGATAACTGATAAACATGCCAACTTAAAAGTGTGTTTGCACTTTGCCAGATGTGACTTTGCCAGATGTGACTTTGCCAGATGTGACTTTGCCAGATGTGACTTTGCCAGATGTGACTTTGCCAGATGTGACTTTGCCAGATGTGACTTTGCCAGATGTGACTTTGCCAGATGTGACTTTGCCAGATGTGACTTTGCCAGATGTGACTTTGCCAGATGTGACTTTGTCAGATGTGACTTTGCCAGATGTGACTTTGCCAGATGTGACTTTGCCAGATGTGACTTTGCCAGATGTGACTTTGCCAGATGTGACTTTGCCAGATGTGACTTTGCCAGATGTGACTTTGCCAGATGTGACTTTGCCAGATGTGACTTTGCCAGATGTGACTTTGCCAGATGTGACTTTGCCAGATGTGACTTTGCCAGATGTGACTTTGCCAGATGTGACTTTGCCAGATGTGACTTTGCCAGATGTGACTTTGCCAGATGTGACTTTGCCAGATGTGACTTTGCCAGATGTGACTTTGCCAGATGTGACTTTGGATGTGACGGTGTCATACGTGACTATGTCAACTGTGATTTTGTCAGATGTGACTGTGTCATACGTGACTGTGTCTCAGATGTGACTGCGTCAGATGTGACTTTGTCAGAGGTGACTTTGCCAGATGTGACTTTGCCAGATGTGACGGCGTCAGATAAGATGTGACGGGGCCGAGTGAGATGCGTGCGCACCGTGGTGCAGCGGCTGCGCGGTGTACATGATCTCGGCGTCGCGCGCGCGCATGCCGTTGCGGTCGACGTAGAGCGCGAGCGCGCTGAACACGAGCAGCCAGTCGGCGCCGGCGGGCTGCGCGCACAGCGGCCGCGCCCCGGAGTGCGCCAGGAACATGTTCACCTGATTCTCGGGGTGCACCAGCGCTGCAAGTGGGGCGTCGGGTGGAGCTCCTTCGACCGACTTCGAGAAGGAGGCTTAATGGTATCACGATCGGACCCGGAACTCTGGAGGCGAGTCGGAGAACTCCACAAAATGAAACAGTTAATGTGTAGTGAGGTAAATTGTTTTTCATGTGAGAATGTGGCAAACGAGCTGGCGGTTCGCGTGATGACAAGCGATAACCGTCGCTTATTGACATTCGCAACACCCTTAGGGTTTCGGAAGCGTTGCCACCTTTTAAAAAAGTGTGTCCCGCGTACCCCACTCACCGGACGAAACGGACGACGCATTTGTAACCCTCGGGTGTGGCAGATGTCCATGGGCGGCGGTTTTCACTTAACATCAGGTGAACCGTCTGCTCGTTTCACAACTTTTGCGCATAAAATAAAAAAAAATAAAATAAAAATAAACGGAGGGGCTCCACTCGCGGCCGCGGTGCACACGAGCGCAGAGAAGGAAGGAAGATAAAGATAAAGAAGGGAGAGCAAGTTACAGAGCGCCGGCTGGTCGACGGCCCGCCGCGGCTCGGGCAGCGCGTGCGCCGCGAAGCCGCCGCGGTAGCCGAGCAGCAGCCGGCCGCGGCTCAGCTGCAGCGAGAGCACCGCGCCCGGCGCGCGCAGCTCCGCCACGCGCAGCCGCCGCGCCGCCGTGCGCGTGATCTCGTACACGTACACCACCCACGCGTTCTGCACGCCCACACGCACGAACACGCTCGCACCACACGACTAGCGCACGCACACGCGCACAAGCTCTGTGTGTGCGCACGCACACAGACGCACGCGGTCACACATGAGTGCCGCTGCACACGTGAAAGTCCGTGTCGTGCGCACGCACACAGACGTACACGGTCACACGTGATGTCGCGCATGTGAAGCTCCGTGTCGTGTGCACGCACACACGCACACGGTCACACGTGTGCTGTAGCGCATGACAAGCTTTATCTCTTGCTACCACGCGCGCACGGTCATTTTACGAACCCACTGAGGCCGCGGATTGAATTTATTGTTATTGGTAATCAGAATGCTTTAGAAACGTACTATGTTAATTTCTTTTATCGAATAAATACGATTAAGGCGCGTTGAAAATGAGAGCCTTTAATTGCCTAAAGACTTATATTTTTAATGGAAAATTAAAGCGAGACCACGATTATTCGCGCCCTCATTTACCCTTCATATGTATGTTTGTAAATCGCGTGCGCATGCATTTGACTAGTCTGTACACGGTGTACTGCGCCCCACCTGCCGCTTGCAGACCACCGCGAAGCCGTAGGCGGCGGCGTGCAGCTCGCCGACGGCCACGTCGACGGCGCCCTTGGCCTCGGCCAGCTTGACGCTCTCCACCTCGGCGCACTCGAGCGCGCGGATCGGCACCAGCCGCACGTGCCGCCCGCGCCCCGCGATCACCACTGCGCACGCACTTTGCCGCTCAACGGACGCCCGTTTGCCACCAAACGGGGACTGTTTAGCACTTGCAATTCCTGACAACCGCAACCGACCGTTGCGATATTCAAAGTGCATGCGACTGTTCGCAACATATTCAAAGTCGGCACGTTGTCACTATCACTAGATTTTTTTTTGGAAAAAATGATGATGAAAAAATGTAGATCCGTGGCCAACCTAAGATAATAGGGACCCTGGTCATCTCACTCACCAGATAAAACACTAAAGTACTATACGTCCACTTGATGCGGATGATGATGGTGGCTACAACTGTGATAAGGCCACGCAGCAGCCTCGGCTGTTGCACGAATGGTTACGCTCGTCCACGGTAAGTACAACGACCTCACATTTTGACTTTTTCGCGTTTGGTCTCGTGAGTGAGGCAGCCGGTGCCCAATGTTCAAAGGGCTGTCAACGCAACCCTCAGGTGTAGCAGACGTCCATGGGCGGTATTCACTTAACATCCGGTGACCCTCCATCAAAAAAAACATGCTCACCGAGCAGCTGCTCGTGCGGCACGTAGCGCATCTTGTGCACAGGCGCGTGCGCCCTGCGCGGCACCAGCTCGTGGCGCTCCAGGTCCAGCAGCGCCAGGCCCAGCTCGCCGCCCACGCACAGCCGCGACCGCTCCAGCACGCACGCGCTGCCGCAGCCGCGCAGCACCGCCGCGCTCGCCTCGCCCACCACGCACGCAGAGTACACCTGCCAACGCACGCTCTACATATGTGCGTCCCTCTCGCACCGCTCGCCTCTCTTTCCCGCTTACTCTACTATGCGGCGCGATACACGTTATACACAAGTCTCTCGCACTGCTCGCTTCTCCTTCCCGCTTCCATGGCGAACGTGCGCAGAAATAGTGCAGGTCGGCTATCTCGCTCGCACTACTCGCTTCTTTTTTCCACTTCTTGGCAAACATCCAGAACGACGACATGGCACGATCTCCAATATATAGGAGTCTCACTCGCACCGCTCGTATCTCCTTTCTCTATTATCCCGTAAATTGTGCGATTATTTTGACGTGATTCGGTTGAGGTTTTTTGGCATGGAATATTTATAATGTTTCAGCGTAGCCAATTTTTAATACTTATGAAAAACATTATAACATTATCTAAAATGGACACGAAAGGCTGATACGGGAAGAAGAGACTAGGAGCACTCACACATTTGTCGGGCAGGTTGTTCCTCTTCAGTATCCTGTGCAGCTCGCTCAGCGCCACCACCCACTTGGTCTTCTCCGATTCCGACTCGGCGAGCATCAGGGTGTGGTATCGCTTACCTCCCTCCAGCTGCGACGTCGATATCTGCAATGATAAGTGACAAGGTCATCAAATTAAACGCCGAGGAAACGAAAAAGGCCGTTGAACGTTGAATGCAGTGGGATCCGGTGTAGCACGAATGGGTCCAGTCCGTGGATGGGCCGGGACCTCGCAATATACCGGCCCGATTATTATTACAATTTTGCGTTTCGTCTGGTGAGTGAATAACCGGGGCCCACATTCGTGACCCTACCATAGTCTGAACCGCTTGTGTACCTTTGATTAATGCGATCTTTAATGAAGACAATCAGTTCCAATTATTAATTTTCCTTATGTGAAATATCTCCCTTCATTCGCAGTGAGTACTGTGTACAGTGTACTACTCAACATAGATGATGTTCTAATCTCATCTCAAGCCCTCTCTCCCTTGGATTAAAGAGCAAAGACGTACCCAATCATTATAATGATTGGGTACGTCGTTGCAAAACTGGATACCCCTTCAAAACTAGATAGTCTCCTCCAAACCACAACCTGTTGAAGTTGACGGTTGACGAGGGACTAACAGTTTTGGGCTTCCTAGGTTGCCAACATTGTAACCATAGTAGGGCCAAGTAACATTCTTAGCTGTTGCACGAATTGACAGATCCGTCAGGGGGAGCACCACCAACTCACAGATGAGCGGCGTGAAGTGCAAGTTTTACACTGCGTTTCGTGTGGTGACTGGGGTAACCGGGGCACTTTAATGAAAGGTGATAACGCATCTGCAACCCTATGGTTGTTGCAAATCTCAACGGGCGGCGATTGTCACTTAACATGATGATATATCGACCAGGGCGTTCGCAAATCACGTCACAGTGCCAAGGGGCGAGCGGAAGGGCACGCACCCTGAATATGCAGGGGATGTCCCGCTTGCTGGCGTGGATGACGTCCGACTCCTTGACGGAGGTGACGCTGAAGTCGGGGTCCCGCATGTCCAGCACCTGGCTCACGCACACCGACGGCAGCGCGTTCCTGGAAAACGTTACAATTAGAAGGTTGCCAATTGTTGATAAAAGAACGATAACATTAACCTAAGTTGTAAGGACGTTTTACAAACATAAAGTGGACACACAGCCAGATAGTTGTTTCATTTCAACTATCTATGGTTTACACAAATAGTTGTCCCGTGTGGGTATCGAACCCGCGACCGCCGACGCCGAAGCCAACACCTTGGCAACTGCTAATTGGAGTCGTCATTACGAGATAGGGGGAATAAAAGATGTGAACATTAAATTCGTAAATCGACAATTTCGTTAGACATTTTATATATTTTTTTCTAGCTGGCAAACGTTGTTTTGCCATATAAATTATTTCTAGAGGAATCGGAACGCACGCATAAAGTGTTTGACAGGTTAGACAGACACAGTTGACAGGTTGACAGGTACAGTTTGTATAGGAAAATAAAATTGTTGCTATTTTCTATGCAATTTTTCCATAATTTGTCAGCGTTTAAACCTTCCCCGGACTGCCACAAACATTTCAAAACCAAAATTAGGCAAATCGGCCGGGCCGTTCTCGAGTTTTAGCGAGACTAACGAACAGCAATCCATTTTTATATATAAAAAGAAGATTTACCAAAGCTCAACAAAACGTTATTTGTTTTCTAGCGATGCAAGTCTAAATATAGTTGTGGCGTACTTTATTTTATCCATCGTCTCTAAGCCATTCGTATGTTTTTTTAATATAAAAGGGACCTTACCTATCCTGGGAGATGTCATACAGGAACAGCTTGAAGTCGCAGACGACGACGAATTGTCGCATCCAACCCTTCTTCACGCCGCCCGGTTTCGGCACCTGCAGAGAACATGTCCACTTTAAAGTAATTTTTGAAGTTAGGCTTCTTTTGGCGCGTTAGGGAAAAATGATGAATGAGAGTAAATTTTTACGATACGCGCGCATACCGTCACCAAAAACCGATACTCTGAAGTTAGCTAGACATCTACGTATGTTTGTGTGAGAACTGTGAGAACATTATAAATATTTTGTGATATTTAAATAAACTTTATTTAACTAGATAACGCGTTATAATAAAATTTTCAAAGTAATAAATTTTTCTATTGTTAGTGTCGTTTTTTCTACAAAACATTTTATTTTGTTACGCCAAACGCGTGTACATAAGTACACACACACTTTTTTAAGGTATATTAGAAATAGGATAGTAACATAAAAATGTATAGATAAAGCTATCGCAAAAACATTTCTTCACTACAAGAATTCGAACATATGCCTTCGGGATTTGAATCCTATCAGCAAAGAAAATATTGCGACTGATTTATCTAGTAATTTTAAAGAATTAACAAATGAGTTCGCAGCTCAAGACGGAGTGTAATGGCGACGTAGGCGCAATGCTATATGCGGCATACGAGGAATGCGCAGACGAAGAAGGCGGAGTGCGTGGGTAGAATAGGTATAGTTCGTAGGTGAAGTAGACAGAGCGCGTAGGCAACGTAACAGGTCTCGTAGGCGGCATAGACGCCGTGCGGAGGCCATGTAGGCAGATTAAGTACGCAACATAGACAAAGTTCGTAGGGAACGTAGACAGAGTTCATAGGGAACGTAGACAGAGTTCGTAGGGAACGTAGACAGAGTAAAGAGAGTTCGTAGGGAACGTAGACAGAGTTAAGAGAGTTCGTAAGCGGCGTAGGCGCATCGTATCCGTCGTAGGCGGTGTAGACTGAACGAGCCGTCGTGTCGTAGCACCTTGACGTAGCCCTCGTAGGCGGTGCCCTGGCCGCGCGCCGGGTCGATGCCGAGCGGGCGGCGGCTGCGCTCGGGCGGCAGCGGGCAGCGCGGCGCCACGCGCGAGCAGCACCGCGTGTGCACCGCCAGCCCGCACGTCTCGCACACCACGCCCTGCCGCGTCAGCCCGATCTGCGGAACGGCAAGGAAGAAAGAGAGAAGAATAATAAATACATACTACCATACTTATATTATAAATTCTGTATCGCTTTCACGACAAAACTACTTGACCGATTCAAATGAAATTTGGTACACAGATAGTCTAGAGCCTGAGAGAGAACATAGGCTATTTTTTAATTGAAAAAAGGGTTATAAAGGGTTCTTAAAGTGGATAGATATATATTTAAGGGCTTCAACGCGAGCGAAGCCGCAGGCGGAAAGCTGGTAGTAAATAAATATTTACGGACACATTTTTACACAACGTTCTCTAGTCCCAAACTAAGCAACGCTTGTACTATGGGAACTAGGTAACTGATAAACATACTTAAACATATTTTTCTTTTGTAAATATATACATATTATACATATATAATATGTATTTATTTACAAAAGAAAATGAATACATATTATAATATGCATTTATTTTCTTTGTATGGCCCTACCCTAACAATGGTAGGGCCATGCAACACTGTTGCACGAATGGGCAGGTCCTTCCGGGTAAGCTCACAGAAGGCCGGCGTGAAGTGGTAGTGTTACACTTTTACGATTCGTCTGGTGAGCGACGTAGCCGGGGCGCAATTTATTTATAGGTGGCAACGCATTTGCATCCCTACGGGTGTTGCAAATGTCCATGGGCGGCGGTTGTCACTTAACATCGGGTGAACCGCCATCTCATATGCCACTTTCTCACGGAATAAAAAAAGAATAAACATTTATTCACAGTCTAATCACAATACATACATACAACTTAGAAAATAATGTACTACACATTACGTATATAAAATAATGTTGGAAAATTTTAAAATAAATGTAAATGAAGGTCTGTGTAGCAGCATAAGATCGTGAAACGGCCGCGACTCAGTGAAAGTCGAAATACAGAAACTGAAATTCGTTCTGATCCCGACACAGGTATTCAGTCCGGCCCGTCATTACTTACAAATCATCAATACTTACAAAGCGTAGTAGCGGAAATTAAATTATTTATGTTTAAACTTTTAATTTATATAGACAGTGTATATCTTTCGTCTGATGAAAGTAAGTAAAAATTCTAATTAAATGTTTTCGTTCTAAAGTTGTTAAAAGGTAAACGGTCGTTGACCCGACCGCTACTATGTTACGTGGGAGCTGCTGGGCTGAAATTGGTCCCAGATATTGCTAAGAAAGCTGTTTGGTTCAACAGCGTATCGAATATCGTGTAATTGGCGAACGAGCAGGAGTTACAGCCCCTTTCACGCAAACTAAAATACAATAAGTACTGAGTAGCATCGGTTAAATTACATCGGGCTTCGCCCTTTCACACAAGCGAACGGACAATCAAGTGGGCCCACCATCAGGGAAGTGCAGTGATTGCACTTGGTGGGGCTGCTGAAGGTGCGCACGAGGAACTGGTGGATCTTCTGCTTGCCGCCCGGCCCCACTGACGGGTCCTGGAGGGGACAACGGTTTTCGAATGTGAACAAAAACTTTTTTCAATAATAATAGCTGCAGACTGTGCTATTTGTGTCCAACTTCCAATCACAGCTGGGCTGGAAGAAATTTCTCAAGAAATAAGCAGGGCCTTCGTACAAAATCTTACATGTAAGTACATTACTTTCATTTTTTCTGTGTACATAAATTGTAAATAAATAAAGTGTATGATATTGCAGTTTTTTTTTTTACACATTTTTACAAAACGGTAAAACATAGTCCCAAACTAAGCAACGCTTGTACTGTGGATACTATAAGTCATAATCTTACCTAAACATACTTGTACAAATACATAATGTTTAACACCCAGTACCCTGGAAAAATACTACTGTGGTTCATCACACAATATTTTTCCAGCAGTGGGGATCGAACCCCGAAAGGCTCAGTGATCTGAAGTAGACAGGCACCTCTCGGTGGTATCTTTTAGACAATCCCCCCCCCCAATACAAATGGTTCGAGACGCCGCGTGACGTCACCGCCGGTCCGGACCCTGAACCCACCGTGGACATCTCGCTGGGCGAGCTCTTGGTGGAGGCGGGAGACGCCGCCCTCTGCTCCAGCTCGTCCGGCGACTCCGCCGAGCCGCTGAGGGCGGTCGACTGCTGCGAGCCGTACATCAGCTGGGAAGCGGTACGGCGTTGGTTATTTTTTTTTTTATTTGAGAAAGTGGCAAACGAACTGGCCGTTCGCCCGATGCTAAGTGACAACCGCCGCCCGTGGACATTGCGTTAGCTGACGAAGACTATTGGATAATGTCATTGCAGTACGACCTACGGTCGTGAAAAATCTATCCAGTGCCATTTACAATGATTCGTGTTTTTATCCGTGTCCGCTAAGTGGAATAAGGGCAAGTGAATGACGATGCTTCTGCTAATTTTTATTATAAATCACACCTTCTACACATGGTGATTACCACCACAAATGGATATCTACAACAGCCGTCGGATCTCAGGTGCGTTGCCATCCTTTAATAGAGTTACCGGTTACCTCACTCACTATTCCCCAACGTACTATCGCTTCACTGTTTGCAATATCATTAAACTCAATTTGCAATGTTGCCAAATTTTTACCTTCAAACACGGTCATGTTCCAAACCATACAATCATTGTGTCGGCACATAAACGAAACATTAATCTTTCAAAACTAAATACAAATATAACAACCAGCACCAAAACAAGACACGTTAAAGTTATATAAACTATAAGATAGCCCTCACAGTACGATCAGGGACGGGGGGGAGGGGAAGGGGGGAAGGGTGGAATAAAAAAAAATAGAAACAAAAAAAAAATACCTTTGCATTGCAACAATGCCGAGCATTTCTGTAACTGTACTGCGGCGAAATCTGTGCGTGAATAAGCGATGTATGTTAAAACGATAAAATGGGCGACGAAAAATAAAATAAAATACGCATAAATAGCAACAAATAAACAATTATAACACAAAACGGCCCGCAAGCTAGATTTACCGGGACATCTGCTTGGTAAAGTGATTGGTAACATGCATACATAATTATATATTTGTCATGATAACCAGTACAATTAACAATATCATGTGATATTAACGTTTTCTCAAAGATTATTCCGTTAGTATACAGTATTATTAGTTAGTATACACATTATATTGTATGCACTATATATTGGGTTAACTAAAATTTCTCTTCTTTCAAAAGTAACACCTAACAGAATTAATATAAAATCAATGAAATTTGATTGGAGATAAATAAATGTATGTTATAAATTGAAATCATTATATAATACGAAGTCAATGCAATTTTAATAAGTTTAAATACTAATACATATTTTTAATGAATTTGACTTAAAAAATATGTAAATCGATTATTTATTTTCGAGTGAAAAACAGATTAATTAGTTTCGTTATTTATCTGACAACAAAATAAGCGTTATATATGAGAACAATTGTGAATGTTGTAAAGCATGAAAAATATTAGTCACTGAATGAAATCGGACCCAGAAGAGTTGATGCGGAAACTCCTATTCCTATGTCCTGTTTTTAGTTGGAGAATGTGCAAGCAAAAACCAACCTTCTGCTCGTTGTTCATAGAGGCGACATTGTCGTAGTGTCTCTCCGTCGGGGCGTCTTTCAAAAATTGATCCAAGTAACTCATCTGTGACGGTGGCCGATCCAAAACTGAAACACGAGAACTTCGTTAAATTTTAAATCCTTCCGTATAAAAGGCAACGAAGAAACATATATATATGAGTAGGGTGAAAAAAAAAACACATAAACCAATCCCAACCGAAACCACTTTCACAAAATATTGATCTAGAGTCTATCAAATTATTAAAATCATGGTGGCAATATTATAGTATAGACGGGTGCAAAAGTGCTTCGAGAATGTTTTGATATTAAAATGATTCGGAAAATAAGTGAAAAACAATTATTAAACCAAATTAGTGCGCAATGAGAAATTGCACGGAACAGAATAACATATTATCTTAGACCGGTCAATTCGAAACCCTCAAAACAACAAAATTATTACTTACGACCGTCGATGTATTGGACAATTACGCAAACCACTTTCACGCCCGACTGTACATAGACATTTTAGTCAACAAAATAGGGGGCTACGACATGCATTGGACGCTTACAATCGACAATATACAAAACTAAACCCAGAAAACACTCACACAATACATGTTGCGCGTTCGTCGAGTTGGAAATGTTTAAAAGCAAAGACGGTTGTTCACATTATAAATGATCTAAACATGGACATGGTTAACTTAAAAAAAAAAATTAGAGCAAAACCCAATATTAAGACTTTTTTTTATGATGGATTTAAAAAAAATACACTTTTATATTTGAAACCATGTAGAACACTGTATGCATTTTATTTTTCGATTTCATAATATAAGATAAACTTAATATAAACGATTACATTCATATTTATAAATATACTTTTTTTTTTCAGAGTCAAAACAAAAATATCTTGAGGTAATATGGCCCGTATTTACATGCCAATTTCGGACCGTGATCGATTTTATTACTGAGGACAGTAACGTAAGTTACTTCAACTCTGCCGATGACAAAATCATTCTCTAGATGCGCGCAAACTGTTATCAAAACATTATTGTGTGACTGTTCAAACAATCGTATGCACTCTATGGGTGTTTACAAAAACTGAGGAGTATATATATAGTGGTATACAATGAAAAAGATTAGTCAATCCCTACGCGTATACAAACAAGTGTTAAAGAAAAAAAAACCATATCGCTCAGCGCGTTATGTGGTGTTATGGAATGGACGTACAGTGAAAATAATGAATTGAAAATAAAATAACTTTTAAACACTTTCGTACGTGATATTACCTCGTCGGGTGACCAATAATTTAGTGTTTCGCAGGACTTGGTCGTGGACTTGAGGTGAATGTTTCACAGATTATAAATGCCAGTGTGTTTATCGCCTCTTCAATTTCAATTAAGGACGGCACAGTGCGAAATTTTACGGAAGAAAGATCGTGTCAATTGTGATAAGGTGAACCAATCAACATTGTTTAAGAAAAATATTTTTCATGTTCAATGGGAATACATTTTAACATTACATAGTTTTTACTTGAAGCTTTCTTTTTGGCGTCTTTCAGACGACGTTATTATCTTGATTCCGGCCCTGGATTTCAACCAAGGACTTGCCAGTCACATCCATGCCACCCGCAGCAAGCTCAAGCATAAGCGAAGCGTTACACGGAAGGTACAACTTATAAGAGCGTTGGAGTAGTTGCGATTTTAGATTGCCTATCGCTGTTTTGGAGTCGCGCCTAGTTTAGACTAGCTTGTGGATTGTTACAGATTAAATGATAAAAAATTAAGAAGTTAGAATTTATATAAATTTATAGCTCAATCAGCATACAATAAGATATCGTACCGAAATTCATTGTGAAATAATAAGGCGTCCAAATTTTATATTTCATCTAAATCGTCGAGCCATTGCATATGAAGAAGCAATGAACAGTACGTACAAATTGAAACATTTATTAAGTTAAACGATATATAATAATCTCCTGTATGTAACCAAATATCCACATCGTACCGTGCATAACGTTAAACCTAAAAATAATAGTTTTTGTCTATGTTTCAATAGGCCACAAAGCAAAAACCCTTAAATAAAAACAGTTTCAAGTGTGCTACATTAAACAGGTCAAAATTATGTATCGACACTGTACCGAAAAAGCAATGTATATTACTTAAAAGGACCCACAAAACAACGATAATGCATTACAATTTCGAGATTTTTTTTTTCAATAGACACTTGCTCGTACTTACAACAAACGGTCTAGATACCGAATATAGGCTCTGATAAAATAGAAATGACCGCACGAAGGCAAGAAATAAATGCATTAGATAATTAAATTACACTTCTTCGTCGTACAGTATCTGTTGTTATACAGAATGAACAAGTGAACGAAAAAATGAACGTGAACGAATGACGCGTATGGAAAGGGTACAGATAATAGACGGGGGCTTATTTGAGTTGTTTTAGATGAGCCAGTGGAAACAAAACTCAGCGTCTAATACTAAATCTGAGCACCAAGCATAGAACAACAGATACGGTAGTAAACATATATTGGTAAACATTCACAAAACAATAAACTACTTCTAAATAGACAATATTATGGAGACAAACATTTTTTTTATTATTAATAAATTTTAATCTATGAATAAACTTAATGAATGCAACGAACCGTTCTCTTCTTTGCCGCTCCAATACGTCGATGATTTGGCGGATCCTTGCCTCGCTGCTTGCAATAACTTTCGACTTTAATACCATGGGCATACAATTCAAATTTCCGTAAATAAAGAGGTTTCGCAACGGACGATTGGAACAAAAAACAATGCGATAACAGTAGTTTACAACTTTAATATCATATATATATATATATAAATATTTACAAGAGCTATGCGTTTCACAAGGATCTCGTAAAAGAAAAAAAAATCACTTCCGTCACATTGGTCGTTTAGAACAATGGTAACGAAGTAAATGCAGAATAAATGTTGAACTTAAATTCAATGTCAAAACGGTACACAAGAAGAAAAACTTAATAAAATAAAACTACGACAGCACAGCTCATATTGTAAAAAGTTAACTGGTCCGTCTAGGGAAAAATCTTATCGAAATCGAGAAAGGGAATTCCAAAAACGCGAATCCAGAATACTCTAGAACCTTCGACAGCGATGATTTAAAATATTATAATCCAATACAAGCTGTTGTGTCGAATCGATAAAATAATACAAAAGTATCGCTTAAATGACTCTATTAATATATAAACAGAGAATCAATAAAAATGCACTGAGATTCTACGAATGACCTAACGAAAGTACATCACCTCACGTTGTGCTAATGTTTTCGATGGTGACAATTCGAACAAAAATGATTCAGACAAATCGACTTTGTGACAGTATACTTTGAGGTCATCAAATAAACAATCGCTTATTTGAAATCGTTGATTACAAAAATGTAATAAAGTATCATGACTAGTTCGACTGGTAGGCAAGACGCATAATAAATAGTAAGTAATAAGACAGTTACAGATAACAAAAAAAAATCTTTGGTAATAATCGTCACAGACTAGATTTAGATTTGCAGGACTAGAATGAAGTAAGTTCTATGAGATACTGAGCCAATATCCATGCAATGTATATACGTAGGCCGCGAAAAACTTGTCAACCGAGCTTGTAGATAATATTGCGCTCTCGTTCGAGCACCAGTCTAAATCGCTTTCCATCTCGCTCCCACCAAATTGGTACTGAGTTACTAACGTTACTATTATATTTTAGAGAATATACTGGTTACTTAATGTAGTCAGTTTTGTTAAGCTATTTTGAGCTTGACTGTACTCGCAGTTTTGCGCAGCCTACTTCCACTATTATTTAACCGTTCTTTTATAAAACATTCATGTTCTCAATAATCAGGCACCGTAGATCTGATGGTATACCAATACGGCAACCCCCCATATGCACGACGTAACACCTAAAAATAGCGGTATATACGGCCTAAACCACGTGCGAACTGTCATATATTAATATAAAAAAAAAAACGAAAGCACAACGCGTAAGTGGCGAAGAGAAAAAAAAGTACAACAGTGGGTTAAACATTTTATAAATAAAAAAAAAATAAAACGATCCACGCGACGCAAAATAAATGCCACAAATAATACATATCGATGCAAATAAATGCAGTTGGCGTGTATTTCAGAAAAAAAGAAAAATAGAAACAATGATAACAATAAAATGGCGGGGACGAGGCCGGCCAAAAGTGTTCCATTTTTAAAATGGATTTTTTTTTACATCAAATGCACGTTTCCGTGATCACAGTTCCAATTGCATTTTTACACAATATCGGCACAAAGTGCGCAGAGCAATATAACAGTTGTGTTTTCCACATAGAGTCCATAATGCCACCAAATATGCGGTTGCGTTTATTTCCGTTTTTTGCGACGCGGTCGACGTTGGACTTTGTGCGGGGAGCCCAAAATTCCATTTTGACGTCGGGTCGTGCAGTTTTTGTGACGTCGCGGATACGTACGATTGGCGTTTCGTGTATTGGGTGGGATTGTGCGGTTGTAACATGTAACGAAAACAAAAAGAAAAGGTGCACTAAATAAACACAATATAGCTTCCTTTAACATACTGTGCTGGAATGTTCGGTACATAGATAAATAGAGAATAAACGAAATACTTATATATTACAAAAAATCTACAATATGTGAAAGCATCAACACGATTGGCTGTTTAAGGGAATAATATAAAATTACCATACCGAGACGAACTTGATCGATTTCAAATATCAACATTATTATATTCCATTTAAGTTGATTACTTAAATTTTATTCTTTATTAGCCTTATACTAAATCCTTAATTTGTTTTCAATAAGTATGTATGGGGATAAGTTAGAAATTTACCAAAAAGAATTTGTTGCTGAATTTTTCAGCTTTTCCTTCAAGAAGATATATTACATTGAGAATAAGAACCAACTTGGATAGATTTTTTATTATGTTTACTTTGAACTATATGATAATCTCAGAAGTGTGCATGGCAAACTTTTAGTAATATGAATAGTTATTTGTTCAAACATTTGATATAACCTTATTACTATAATTTTCAAGACCGATTAACCAGCTAATTTGACAATGTCCATAGATGTCATTACATGTTAATGTAGAGAAAAATATAATTTCACTTCCAATCTATTCCTAGTTTCACCATCGGCAGACACACAAAAACCCTTAAGGTCTTCAGGTACAATAGACTCTTAGCCGCAGGGCATTGAGTATAAAATATCAAACCACAAAGTGTAATTTGGCATGCCAAACATGTAACTTATGTGGTGTTTTGTTTTTTTGTTTACGGGTTTTTTTTAAATCGAAATAAGTTGCAGTAAGTAATTAAACATTGTCATGTTCCTAACTACATCAAGTTGATTGTATCGGTCTTGATGTGTGTGTACTTATCGCAAGTAAGAACATACTTATACTTCTTTAGTGTAACAAAAGAAAAATTACCAAAAAAAAAAAATTCATTGTCCTAATGTATGTGAAAAAAAGGCATTAAATTTAATTAAATGACTATTGCTCCGGCTGCTGCTGCTACGTACTTAAACAAAAGTATTTAAGTAAAAAATTAGCAATATAATAAAAAAAAATAAAAAAGATAAGAACGCAGAGTTTCTTGTCGGTACTTCTATGGACAGGTCTAGTTTAGTTGAACCGGTCGTACTTTATCGACGGTCAATAAGAATTTAAAATAAGCCTATATCGAATAAAGAAATTTTGAGAGAATGAAGTCGGTATGGCAAGTACTCTCATCCTTCATAAAGTGAAACTTGAAATCAACCAAGATCAACCTCGGTGACGGCTGGACGTGGCAGTGTATCTGATGTTGGTGTACTCACAGGAGTTGCCCGGCTGCAGGGGAGCGTCCAGCTTGGCCTGCATGTCCCTGATGTGCTGCTCCTTGCGCTTCATGTCGTGCGCCAGGGTGTCCAGCCGCTGCCTGGTCTCCAGCAGCTCTCTATAATGTAAATAATAACAATGTAATATTTTAGACTGTGGCAGCGCCACGCAGCAGTGTTCGCTGTTGCACGAATGCGCAGGTCCGTCCGGGTGGGTACCACGATCTCACAGAAGACCGGCGTAAAGTAGAAGTGTTACACTTCTGCGTTCCGTTTAGGCAGTGAGGCAGCCGGGACCCACCGCAAATCCACCAGGTCGTTTTCCACCTTTTCACATAAAAAAGACACATTTATACACAACACTCTTTTCTCAAACTAAGCAACGCTTGTACTATGGGTACTAGATAACCGATAAACTTACTTGAACATTTTTTTTTTCGTAAACAAATACATATTATACATATATAAACACCCAGACACTAGAAAAACACCACATTCACCGCACAATATTTTCCAGTAGCGGGGATCGAACCCACACCCTCTGGCACAAAAGGCAGGGTCACTAACCACTACGCCAATCTTGTCGTCAAGGTATAGGTGTGAGTGTGCGTGAGTGTGCGTGTGCGTGCGTGCGTGCGTGCGTGCGTGTGCGTGTGTGTGCGTGTGACCTCTGGCTGGCGAGCAGCTCGGCGCGCGTGCGGCTCAGCTCCTCGCCGACCGCCTGCTTGGCCTGGATCTCCGAGTGCAGCGACGACTGCAGCGTGAGGATCTCCATCTTGTCCAGCTTCTGCGAGCGGCGGTTGCGCCAGCCGCCGCCCGCCCCGCCCCCACCGCCGCCGCCCCCGCCGGCGCCCACGCCCGGCGGCGACGCGGGCGCAGCGGCGCCAGAAACGCGCGCCGCGCTCGCTACGAACACAATCCCGCCGGTGGTCAAGGGCCTCTCCTCATACCAACATTCAACTGTGAATTCAATTTGCAACGATCCCACTGAAGGGCACACGCCTCCTATGATGCGTCGCTTCCAGATATTCCCGCTCAACTATTCATTCGATTTGCAACAAAGCGAGCCTCCACTCTTAGATCTCTTCTCAGTATTCCCCCTGTACTTATTTAATATACAAGAATAAGCAAGACTAGTGGGCAAAGTCCTCCGGTTATAGGTTCGAGTGTGAAAAAAAAAATTTTGTAATATGTACTGTCCTTGCAATATGTTACTATGTCCTGTCAAGAGTAAACTCATAAAAAAAAGTCAATAAATATCGCACAAAATTTCACTTTATAAACTTTAGAAATACTTATACAAATCACCATGATGAGTTTCTCACCATGCTTCAAGTAATCCAACTCTTCTGTCATTTTGGTGGCAAGGGCTTGAAGATATCCGCGCGCCTCCTTTTCGTCTGCCACCCACCTTATGATGTCTGCAATCTGCAACAAATACAACCATTTACAATGGTACGCAACTAGCAACCCAGAAGCTTCTGCTGTGGTGTTAATGTGGGGATTCTTCCAGGGAAGTACCACAAGGCCACAAGACACCAACTTCCACTATTCATTTGGTCAGCAAGTTGACCATGGTCTACATTTTTAAAAACAACCTTAGCAGGTTTTGGTACATGTTCATGGGGGACAGACGAACAAATTGTTCTGTCACCATCTGACATAATAAAGAAAATTGACAGCCATTAAAACATACATCAAATTCAAATATCTTTATTGAATATAGAAGCGTTACACTAACTTATTGACTATCGAAAAAACTATTACCGTTTCAGAAAAAAAGCCACTGACCTGAGAAGAACCGGCGAACGAAACACAGCGGGAGATTTTTTTTTAAAAATAATTTGACAAGAAGAACATTTACAATATATTAAATTCTACTTGAAAGAGCCTGGAGCGCTCAATTCTTTTCCAGAATCTGATATCATTTAAATAATCACTAATACTATACTAGTATGTAACCGACAAACATTCCTTTACAAGTCTTTCAAATTTATCAACAAATTCAACGTCGCAACTGATTCAATTTGGACGTTTTCTGGCATTTTGTTGTAAAAACCTATACTTGTCCTAGAGTAGATTTACTTATTCACGCAATTTTGACTATATCATTTTCAAGAGAGTGAAGTCACAGTGTTTTGTTAAAGAGCAACTTCTTCTTCTGTAAAAAGAGTTAAATTCAGTAAGATATACATCAAGTTTTACGGAACCAACCTGTGTCTCCCAATGTTGCATTGTGTCCCGTTTTGCCCTCAACTCCTCCAGCTCCATCTCCAGCTGTCTCCTTTCGGTTTGCCACCTTCGGCCATTCTCCGCCATCTGATGTATGCAAATTGGCTAACTATTATACACTAACAAATGCTGGACAGTAGAACCTAACATCTTTCAACAGAACTACAATATTTTTTACTGGTACAAAATACATCTCAGTCAATAATAATTGATGCTAAAAGCTTGCTTTGTATGTCCAAATTTATTGAGATACAAAATTTCTTAGAGTTTAATAGTTTTAATTTTTCAAGGATTGTCTTTGGTTAGTACACTATTTACTCACAGCATCCAAATCTTTCGCCAACTTCCTGTTTTCGTTGATGAGCATCTGTTTGTCCTCGCTGTCAGAAAGCTGCTCGAGGCGACGGTTTTCGAGTTTCTCTTTGGACGTTTGCAGCTGCAATAAGAATGGAGGATACTTAGAATTTTTTGTTTGCGGAAATTATTTTAGTTTATTTTGAAAACATAGTGTTCATACACATGTTAAGGTTACAGACGAAAGTATTAAACTTTTATTATCAAATAAAACATTTCAGAATTGTAAATACTAATATATTCAAGAATTGATTTACATTTTCTTAAGGAAAAATTAATTAATGAAATAATATTGATTAATATACGCCTTAAATTACAACCCAATCATATCCTTCAAATGTTCTAGAATAAATTTCAGAACATTTCAATATATTTTAAATACAGTATATTTTAAATACAAAATAAACTATCGGGAATGCATATCACCGACTCTGGCGAGAAATCCAAACGACTTCGGCCGTTTTCGGACATCTACGGGCTTCCTTCCTTTTCCATACGTTTATTTCTTTGGTCAAAAACGGTTTACGCAAACCTAAATTCCTAAACCTATATCCCCGGACGAAGAGGCTCAATAAGTAGCAGAGACTTGTGTGTGTTTTCTTTGACAGACATTGACAGGCATTGTCGATTGTTTTCTCTTTATAACTAGCGACCCTCCCGGTGCAATGTATTATACATATTATGAAACCTTCCTCTAGCGGGACGACTTTGTTCTATACTATGTAGTGATGCACAGCAAAGAGACGTTTACATTTCAAGTGACATTTTACTACAGTCACTCACTTGTTTTGCCTTCCCGGAACCCCTCCACTAACACGTAAACTTATGGTATGGTATTAAAGTTCAAATTGACTTGTAAGTATTATTACGAATCTTTTGTACGGGAATATAGAAAAGTGCTGTTTTTAGACTTTTTCAGGCAATTTTTTAAATTTTTTCTTCCTTATTGAACCTTCTGATAATAACAAACACAAAAAAAAGTGAAATCAGTCCAGCCGTTCACGCGTGACGGCGTGACCAAGGGAAATAGGGATTCATATTTATATATATAGATTAATTCTGATTTATTCCCGTCTTTAGCTAGGGGGTGGTATATCCCCGGACGATGAGGCTCAATAAGTAGCAGAGACTTGTGTGTGTGTGTGTTCTTTGACAGACAGTCTAGAGCATTGTCGATTGTTTTCTCTTGTTAACTAGCGACCCTCCCGGTGCAATGTATTATACATATTATGAAACCTTCCTCTAGCGGGACGACTTTGTTCTATACTATGTAGTGATGCACAGCAAAGAGACGTTTACATTTCAAGTGACATTTTACTACAGTCACTCACTTGTTTTGCCTTCCCGGAACCCCTCCACTAACACGTAAACTTATGGTATGGTATTAAAGTTCAAATTGACTTGTAAGTATTATTACGAATCTTTTGTACGGGAATATAGAAAAGTGCTGTTTTTAGACTTTTTCAGGCAATTTTTTAAATTTTTTCTTCCTTATTGAACCTTCTGATAATAACAAACACAAAAAAAAGTGAAATCAGTCCAGCCGTTCACGCGTGACGGCGTGACCAAGGAAAATAGGGATTCATATTTATATATATAGATTAATTCTGATTTATTCCCGTCTTTAGCTAGGGGGTGGTATATCCCCGGACGATGAGGCTCAATAAGTAGCAGAGGATTGTGTGTGTGTGTGTGTGTATGTTTTCTTTGACAGACAGTGCATAGCAGTGGCGTTTGTGGTACCTCTCTGGTGAGCACGTTGCGCAGCGCGTCACCCTCCTGCAACTGGTCCCTGAGCGCGGCCAGCTCGGCTCCGTAGCGCGCCTGCTGCTGCGCCAACGACTCCTTGTACTGGAGCTGGAACGGGTGTTACGTGAGTAAGTTTTTAATGTCTTTTTGTATGTGAGAAGGTGGCAAACGAGCTTTCGGTTCACCTGATGTGAACTGATAACCGCCGCCCATTGATAATTGCAACACCCGAAGACTTGCAGATGCGTTTCCACATTTTAATAGTGGGTCTTTGTTTTTTTGTTATGTGAAAAGTTGCCAAGCGAGCAGACGGTTCACCTGATGTTAAGTGAATACCGCCGCCCATGGACATCCACTAAACCCGAGGGTTGCAGATGCGTTGACAACCTTTTGAAAATTGGGCTTCGGCTACCTCACTCACGAGACGAAACGCAGAACAGTTCCACTTCACGCTGGTCTTCTGTGAGGTCATGATACTTCCCCAGACGGATCTGCCCCTTCGTGCAATCGAAGACTTTTGGCCCTATCACGATTTCATGGCAGAGTCAGAAGACGATCATGATGGTCGCATTTGTGGTCTGAGAGTTCGGATCGCAATTGCGTATTTATTTATGCAAATATCAATGACTTCTTTCTTGATGCAAATATCAATGACTGCATTTCTCCTTGGGATACCGTATCCGTATCTTCGATTGCACCAAGTGGATCCGTCCACGACCTCGACCTCGCAGAATACCGGCGTGAAGTGGAAGTGTTACACTTCTACATTTTGTCTGGTGACTGAAGTAACCGGAGCCTGCTTTATCGAAAGGTGGCAACAGATCTGCAATCCTTTGACGTCAGCTGAACTGCCAGGACCAAGCCGCACCTCCAGCGCCTCGACGTCCGCCTGCAGCCTGGCCACATCTGCCGCGGGCCCCCCCGCCCCCGCCACCGCGCCCCCCTCTGCCCGTTGGCTGCGCAGCGTCTCCTCCCGCAGCTTCCTCTCCTGCAAACGACAAGTGACAACTCAGACATAGGCAACCGCAATAATATGACATTACAAGGTGTTCAAGTAGTCTGTTGAACAGCCTGTAATGCACAGTCCCGAACACTTTTTTTATGTGAAACAAGCTGCTGCCCGCGACTACGTCTGCGTAGAATAGGCTGAAGCGATAAGAAGAAATACAGATATACATAAAATTATGTATATAAATTATAGCCTATGTTTTATTCTGATGTATGAGCTATATTATTGTAAAGTTTCATTAAAATCCACACAGTAGTATTTGCGTGAAAGAGTAACAAACATCCATCCATCCATACATACAAACTTTCGCCTTTCTAATATTAGTAAGGATTTATCAAGCGAGTGACGGTTCACCTTGATGATATTAAGTGAATACCGCCGCCGATGGGCATGTAAAACATCTGATGACTTGAGAAAAGTGGGCCCAGGTAACCTCACTCACCAGAAGAAACACACTGTGACAATTCCATTTCACGCCGGTCTTATGTCAGGTCACGTTACTTCACGGGACGGTCCCGCCCATCCGTGCAAGAGCGGAAACTAACGCGGCCATATTGTCAAGTGGCGAATGGCAGCAGAAGCCAGCACCTAGGTGGCCCTACAGTTAAGTTGGAAATGGCAGCAAGAGGCGGCACCTTGGTGGCTTCGGCGATGGCGGTGTCGAGGCGCGCTTCCAGCTCGCGCCGGCCCTTGTCGCTGCGCCTGATGTCCTGGCGCAGAGCGTCGATCTTCTGCATGGCCACCTCCAGCTCCTCCTCCTTGTCGCGAACCTGGCGAGTGTTTCGCATAGCGTCAGCAATCGACTTGAGCACTTTACACTAAATGTTACCCCACACTAGGAATTTTCCTGTGTCATGGGTGCGGTCAGACATATAGTCCCGTGAAGTGGTAAGCGCGCTGGCGGTTCACCTGATGTTAAGTGATAACCGCCGCCCATGGACATTTGCAACACCCGTAGGGTTGCAGATGCGTTGCCACATTTTAATAAAGTGAGCCCCGGTTACCTCACCTGACGAAACGCAGTATTATGACACTTCCAATTCACGCCGGTGTTCTGTGAGGTTTTGGTACTTACCTGGATGGACCTGCTCAGCCCTACTGCAGTAAAATTATACTGAATAAATGTTTGGGCGGGCTTACCTGTCGCGAAAGCTTCTGTTTCTGCTGCCTCAGCTCTGAGAGCCTCTCGGACACTTCATTATACTCAGCCATCGCCAGCTTGCACTGCGACAGAGTGTCTTTTAGCTCCTTATCCTGGAATCAAAGGAAATTGTGGTTCAACCGAGGTGACAAGGTTTCTTTCAACATAAAATTGTCAGTGCTCAGCTACAGACTACATTGGCACTATTGCCCCAGTCCATAAACAAATTTTCAGTATAAAAAAGAATTTAATTAGTCTACAAAAGGAGTGATTGCTTATAAAATATGTTAAGTACCGTTAGCCGAAATATACAACTTCACGCGACTTTAATAGTAGATTGAGATAAAGCTATCGGTATATGAAAGAATGAGTAGCCTCAAACAGATCAGGAAATACATATATCGTCTAAAGCACAAATTCGAGACGATAACTTCAAGAAACACACACACACGAGAAATTCAAAAAAGGCAAAGATTGATCAATCATACCTAACTATTAGACGATCAGGCATTAAAGATTTAAGTCAATCAGGCAACATTATAACAAAAAAGACATACCTGCAACCTTAACTTTTCCAAGGCGTCGGCTTTGTCTTTCGCCAGTTCCTCTTTTTCCATGTTCAAGGTGGCAACAAGAGTCTCCAGCTCACGGAGCCTCGTAGGTACATCTTGCGTGGTGGTCGAAGAGTCCTGAAAAATATATATAACACATGCAACATTCACAGAATATTCAGATAACATTGCTAAAAAACATTTATTTTAGTTTTATTAATCATAATTATGTACAGTATATTTACCTGAGAGGTAGCACTACCGCTGATTTGCTCATAGCATCGAATCTGAGCCTCCAATTCGCAATTCCGCTTTGATAGAGTTGACAACTCCTCCTTCAGTTGAATCAACTCATCTGGAAGAAAAAATAATCAGTATGAAGCTGTTATCAAGCCATTTACATGAACGATTTGACATTCCAAATCTTATACAGGGAGGCTTTTTTAAGTGTATCCATTTTATTAAATTCTAGACATAAAAAATGTTATATAAAAAATGATAAATATTTAAAATCACTCATAATTAATTAAATACATTCATTTGAACTTATCCCAGAAAGTGCGTGATTTATGGGTAACTCATTTATTTTACGCGCGATCATTCATAACTAACACGCGTACAAATTCGTTTCAAAAGTATACGACGCATTTATGAATGACTACCGCATTGTCAACAAGTTCTGTTTTTAGGGAATGAAGAGAATGAACGTGATTGGCAGACTTCACAGATCTTGAAAATATTTTATTGTTGTTAATATATCGAAAATATGCATGTTTCATAACGTTGCCTTCTCTAACTCCTTCAATGCTCAGCCCGTGCAATAAGTAAGCATTTAAAATTGACAACTTCATTGGTGCCGGCACCCGCATTTGAACTCGGATCGCTTGAGTATATTGAATAATGGGCTCGATTCCCACACGAGACAACTATTTGCGTGACCCACAGATAGTTGTTCGGGTGTAATGTCTTGCAGTACAGTAACAGAGCAATGTTTCCGAAGGGACTACAATTGATCTTCAAGTTCGCAGTTGTGGTTGGGACTAACCACCCAACCACTTCCACATTTTTTACGGTGGTAGGGCCACGCAGCAGCCTCGGCTGTTGCGCGAATGGGCAGGCTCGTCCGGGTTAGTACCACGACCTCACAGAAGACCGGCCCAAAGTGGAAGTATAATACTTTCGCGTTTCGTCTGCTGAGCTGGGTCGCCGGTGCCCAATTTTCAAAAGGTTGTCAATGCATCTGGAACCCACGGGTTTAGCAGATGTCCACGGGCGGCGGTATTCACTTAACATCGGGTGAACCGTCTGCTCGTTTGGCAACTTTTCACCGACGTTTTTCAGACAAACTTTTCAGAGTGCACCAACCGGGTCCGGATTCGAGCCCGGCGCCCGCCCTCAGCTCGGCGATGGTCTGCGCCAGCAGGGCGTTCTCCCGCTCCAGCGCCTTCAGCGCCGCCCTGTCGCCCGCGTTCGACGGCGCCTGCTGCAAACAGGAATTACGGAATTAAAACCAGCTCCATATCGGCATCAAGTGAGTTAAAATCATCAAATCATCCCTCAAACAGGAATAATCGTGTTTGAGGGATGATAAAAGATATTACCTACACAGGTTATTATCTTGACATTACATGTTGATTGGGAGATAGTCCAGGAAATTTAGGTAAATAAATAATATTTCAGAAGCTTTGCAAGACTTGTAATCTGCTTAGTCACAGAACGGTAACACAAATGAATATTAAACAATAAACTACTAAGTTATTTAAGTTGATAACTGTACATAATGTAATAGCATGCAAATTAGGTTGTGCGAATTGCAGTGATGATTTTGATAGGCGCTTCGCGAACACACATACTTTCGACAATTCAAAAATCAAAAATCAAAGACAAAAGACTTACTGACGTTATGAATATCTCTGGCGGCGTTGGTAATTGAAATGATTGTTTTTTTTCCTTTATAAAAGTTCACCTGATGTTAAGTGATTACCGTCGCCCATGTCATATAACACCAAATGCTCACAGATGTGTTGACAACCTTTAAAATGAGTAGGTCCTGGTTACATCACTAACCAGACTAAAGCAAAAGTATTAGTGTCTGTCGTGTGGCTATACCAAGAGGGCTTACTGGAGTAGGACCGCGCAGCAGTTTCGGCTGTTGCACGAATGTCCAGGTCCGTCTGAGGAAGTACCACGACCTCACAGAGGAGCGGCGTGAAGTGAAAGTATTATATTTTGGCGCTTATTGGGTGCCACTTTATGGAAAGCATCGGTGCTGCAAATATCCAGGGCCCCCCTTACCTGGCTGGGCGCGTTCTTGGCGGGGCTGAGCGGGGCGGGCGCGCCGAGGTCGGAGAGGCGCGAGCCGGCCGTGAACGTGAAGCCCACGAAGGGCAGGTGGCGGCCCGAGAACGCGGCCGACGGCGGCGGCGGCGGCACCGCCTCCGACAGCCTGCCAAGAGGACTAGGTCAAAACACGCAGGCTTCCGTACCGTCAAGCTATGCGACTAACGGTCGTTCCTTGAATATAGGAACCGGGCATATGGGGGCTGCACTCGCCTGATGTCGGTGTCGTCCACGTCGAAGTTGGAGGTGTCGGTGGGGCTGGCCACGTCGGGGACGAACGGCGCCTGCATCTCGCGCACGCTCTCCCACTCCAACCCGCTGAACCATGGGTGGCTCTGCGACACAAAGCCATATTCAAATTACACATCGAATAATAATAATAAACTCTCCCAAACTATTAAGCCTGGTAACACTGCCATTTTTTTTTTTAAATATTTTCAGACACATTTTTCACAATGTTCTCTAGTCTCAAACTAAGCAATGCTTGTATTATGGGTACGAGGTAACTGATAAACATACTTCAACATACTTTTCTTTTCTAAATAAATACATATTACACTAACACAAAGACACTGGAAAAACACTCTATTCATCACAATATTTTTCTCAGTAGTGGGGAACGAACCCACACCCTCTGGCGCAAGAGGCCAGGTTCACTACTTCCTACGCTAATCCCTGTGTCATAAAGAAATGGAAAAATCTAGAGAAACTGATAAAAGTTTCATATTTCATTTAAAAAATGGTATGACACTATGGATCCTTCTTATGCATTAATTTGTAATTCCTATTTAAAATGAGTACTTCTGTCAAGAGTAGGAAATATTGAATGAAGCTAATGTATGGTTCTTTTGGCCTCACCTTGAAGTCTTGCAACCCATTCTTGCCCAGCCTGTTCTCCGATGAGCAAATTAACCGCCTTATCAAATCTTTGGCTTCTTCAGACACCTGAAATTGTATTCACAACACCATAATTATATGGAAATTTAAGATCATAAGGTCATATTATGTCACTGCATGTACACACACTTTTTATTTTTGTAAAAACAGGGTGAGTCACCATAACGCCATTTTAGGATTGTTTTATACTTAGAATGAACTGTTTATTATCTATACTATACTAACTAAAAAATAATAAAAATTTAATAGATAAAGAGATTTGCTAAGACGACACTGTAAATCTACCAGAGATTGTTAAATAAAAAAATATTTTAGGATTGCATATTTTGCCATCGTACGAATGGAAAGGTTCTTCAGGTGAACGAACTACGGTTACACAGCTGGTGAGTAAGGTATCCGTTGCCCACTCTTTTAAAGGCGGGCAACGCATCGTGAATATAATGGGCAGCAGCTGTAACTTATCATCACGTGAAGCTAGCTTGTATGCCATAATATGCTATTTAAAATCTACTTTGTTGAGAATCATCTAGCTACGGGTAACATATTTCGTATAGGTACCTGAGCGGCAGCGTCATCTGGCGGTGGGCAGTGGAAGCAGCGCGCGTGGTTCATGATCTTGCCGTAGGTCTCAACCAGGGACTCTGCGTAGAAGGGCGTCTCACCAAACAGCATCTCGTACATACACACGCCTGATGCATACGTAAATATTAATTAAGTCAATAAATAAAAAGTAGCATTTATATAATAATAGCAGTAATATAGTATGAATTAGTACAGGAAATATTTACAAAACATTATCTAGTAATAAAATAAACAAAGCTTGTACTATGGATACAAGGTATCTGATAAATACATCATCAATGACATTCTGTATAATTTTATCTTCTAATCACATCACCTGTGATGTATTGGAAACGTCGGTAATTTCACAACAAAATAAGACACAGAAAAGTTGTAACAATAATAGTCGTTTTTACTATAATTATATTCCTTTATTAAGCTTATGTTCCAGAATAAAAAGTACACATATTTAAAGCATACATTGTAATACCAACACCCACCTAAAGACCACCAATCACACTCCGGCCCGTACCGCCCCTGCCCATCTTCCATTGCCTGTGGAAGCAAGCAAAAAAAAATATATTACAAGATGTAATAACCCGTACCAATTCCACCACTTGCTCCATAGGGTTTTTCCTTTTCCTTAAGAACTCAAAAATGTGTAGTTTGATAAATAAGTCACATGGTATTTATTAAATATTTAACTTGTTAACAAATATTCGCAAAAAGAATATTTTATTCACACATACTAATTAAATTACAAGTAATCCAACACATCTAGCCAACACGGTATGTTGCCAAGGACACGCATTACTAAATACTTAAACTTTGCAGGAGAAAAGAAATGGCCCTCTTATCGCCAATACTACCGCCACTGCAAAATAACGCTAATAGTTTTACTCACCCTCAAAATTTCTGGAGATATGTAATCCGGAGTCCCCACAGCAACATTGCTTTGTACCTGAAAATTAAAAGAAATATTTGTACAATATTGCATTAAAACTACTAAAAATTTTTCGCAATAAATGTATGAATTATTTCAATCTACAATACTTGTTAATAATTATAATGGATTTGACAATCACAGATGTTATATATCTTATCTTTCAACCTATTGTGGAAGAATTCATTACTTAAAAAGCTACTAATATCCATTTATATTTATAATATGCTTATTAATAACTGGCATGATATTTCATTGTTATAAAATTATCAATACACTCACTTTTCCATCATCCCCAAGCCTCAAGCAAGAGCCAAAATCCGCCAGCCTTATGTGACCACTAGCGTCTAACAGAACATTGTCCGGCTTTATGTCTCTGGAAAATAAATGTTTCATTTAATCCTGCAGTACCTATAGTAGTCTAAATATTTCTTAGCTATGACTTGAACAGCAACACCACAAAAGGGAAATAGCCCAAAAGACGAAATTAAGTTAGATAGCTCCCTAACGCTTAATGTTACAACATTCTAGATCAAATTAATAAACTGTGTGGTCTAATATCACTACTTATTTTAATTGTAACAAAAAGGCTATATGTGACAACAAAATGCAAAAAATATATGTCTACGTCATTTTGATTCAAGAACACTAATATCAATAAAAATCATTGAAATACATTAAACCTAATTGATTTAGTTAGGATAAATATGTATAACTAATAATATATTTATTTTGTAGAATTTCAATTTTTAAATCTTTTTAAAATATTATATTTATTAAAATTTGTAGAAAAAAGTGCGAAAAGTACAAACTTTCTAAAAGTTTTAACGTTCAATCTTAAATGCAGAGATTAGCCAAAAAATTTAAATATTAAATTTATATTGTACACTTTTGTACATAGATGAACAAAAACTTTGAGCGCTGCGCGGAATTCTAACCTGCGTTCATTCTTCCGCGCCCAGACGCTTTACCAACTAAGCTTAGCGGTAAGCTAAATACGGGTACTGTGCACCTGTGTACGTAGCGCAGCTCGTGTACGCTCTGCACGGCGAGCACCATCTCGGCGATGTAGAAGCGCGCCATGTCCTCGGGCAGCCGGTCCTCGAACTTGGAGAGCAGCGTGAGCAGGTCGCCGCCGCAGTAGTAGTCCATCACCAGGTACTGGAATGGAGACGGACCGATTGGGGTCGGTATTGTCCAAAGCATGTTCGATTCCGAATGGAGGCAACATATCCTACAATAATGGAGAAGATTCTAGCTTGTATTTTATGCTTGTGACCTCAGAACTCAGTCATTAATGAACAGATTAAAATTTTTTTTTGCATATGTGCGGTTTATCTCTCATGTGGTCCGATATTATTTAATACTATTGGACCTTAGGCTCCAGATACCTCAGGCGACTTCATCAAATTCAAATTGAGAAGGCTATACCTTCTCTAAGAGAGATATTTTATGTCATTTTTTTATAAAAATATTTTAATTGGGAAATGGTAAGGTAATATTCTCTACATATGGACATACGAGACATTGGTATTCTAGATAATTTGTTTATAAAGGAGTGTGAATCAAGCAACTTGAACTTATGGCCCCAATCACCCAAGGAATGGTTGCTATTTTAAGCGCTGATTACTTGAAAGTAGACATTTAAAAGAAATCTGAAGAATCCTTGATAAAGTTTGCTTGATAAATTGTCGTTCAGACTCTTGATGTACTTTCTGTACACCATTTCAAGTTTAAGTAATGTTCGGAACAGTTTGAGGGAGTCATTATTTCTTTTAATTGGACTTCTTTACCAAATTGTGTTCATCCTGGAAGGCGTAGTGCAAGTTCGTTATCCACCTTCTGTCTCCGAACACTAGAACGTCCCTCTCCTCCTGGAAGCACGCCGTTTCAGCCCTCTGTAATGGAAATCAAGTAATCATTAATGCATTGAAATACCCACACTTCAAATGGGTTAGTGTACTCTTTTATAAGCTACATCTGAACCATTAATGCACCAACTTTACCAAAATCTTCTTTTAATAATGTACTATCTGAGCGCGAACATGCAGAGCTGTTTAGCTTTATTTTTCACTTCTGTTGGAACTTCAGGATAAATATTATATAAAAACACTCTCCTGTTCAATAGCTATGTTGTAAACAAATATCAAGTCAATCCTATTTTCTGGGCTTTGTGAAGACAAACATACGAACGTTAAAACTTTCACATTCCTGTGAAAAGTGCAGCGTATGGCGAAAGGCCTAATCCTGTCTTTGGTTATATATTCGCTTGTATAATTATTTAGGTCAACCGACACCAGATGTTTTGTGGCGCTCAGGGTAAAGTTTAAAGTTCGGCGTTAGGGCGTGACGTCACGAGCAGTCCTACTGTCTCTACGAGTCCCACGACCAGGCGTCGTCTGGGTCGAAAGGCGTGACGTCACTAGCAGTTCGACTGGCCCTACGAGTCATGCGTATGGTCCCGTCAGGGTTGAAAGGCGTGACGTCACGAGCGGTCCGAATATCCCTACGAGTCCTGCGGCCAGCCGCGTCGCGTTCGAAAGGCGTGACGTCAGCAGCGGCCACTCGCCTTGAGCATCTCCCACTTGTTGAGGATCTTCATCGCGTAGACCCTCTCGCCGGTGGTGGTGGAGACGGTGCCGCCGGCCGACGCCGCCATGTTGCCGCCGCCCTCGGTGCCCTGAGGACATAGTCACAAGTGAATATGAGTGACGTAAAGTTCAAATTCGACTTTTGTCACTAATTAAGAAATACAGCGTGTCGTTACCATCGCGACAATAAATGAACACACGTCTAACGCTACTTGCCCATAAATCCATAAATAAATTATAAATCCATAATTAAAAAAAAATATTTTTCAAACAAACTAATTAAGTAGAAAAGAAACAAAATTTGTAACATCCTAGACAACTCGCGCCACAGCGTCGTATTACAAGCCTCTCCTTCTAACAATATGTTTTGTCTCTTTTAAACTCATTCAACCCATTCATATGCTTTGTGACCTTTACAAATGAACTTTACGTTACGCTTTTATAGGTAAGGGTGTTCTAAAATTCTTTGTTTTGGAAAATTTAATAACTCGGTAAATATTGATGTTTAAAGAATTTAAATGTTTAATACAACTCTAAAAAGTTATCCCCTATATGTGGGTTCATTTATTGTCGCGATGGTAACGACACGCTGTATACGCATAGCAACTTGGATGGTAAAGAAATATCGATCCTATTGTATGTTAAATAAAGTTTAAATTCAGTTTGTGTCAGCAAGGAACCGAAGTACGCAAGGCAACGTGTGAATGTGAAAGAAATAACGACCGTATTTGTAAGTTATCAGTTATAGATCCACATAGCCGCTTTACCACCACCCACTTTTTTAATGTTGGCATCGCATCTCTAAACCAGCATTTTTTTATATGTCCACGTGCCGCGGTAATCACTTAAATGTGAATAAAGTGGTAAATTCGGTTTTGGTCGGCACGAAAGCGAATTACGCATAGAAATATCTACCGTATTGTAGTCGCTGTAAAATTGAAATTCGAGATTGGGCATGCCCCGATCAATCAAGGGCTTATGCTAAAGCGTTATGCACATCGATATATATATCTTATAGTCATTAGAATAGAGTAAAAGTTCAAACACAATACAGATGTGTATGTAGGAGATAGATGTATATGCCACGTAGATCTTTCTATCAAGATAATTTTAAACGTCGGTGTGTGTTAAGCGGGCACAACCACTTTCGTGTATGCCATAAGGGACTTTTGAATTACCTGCATGAAAGATGCACGGACGACGCACACCTCGCCGAAAGCGCCGCGGCCAATCACCTTCACCAGCTCGAAGTCGTCCCTGGACAGCCTCAGCCTCTTCAGCGCGGTGGCCACTGGCTTCACTGGAACATTAGACAGACGCTTTTCAATGCACTGGCTAGAGCTTATACACTGTCCCCAGCCTGATTGGAGGTCGTGACGTAGACTGCGCTGGTAAACGCATTATTCTGCCTTGGACGAAACTTAATATAAACTTAGAACTGAAAGGCTAACGCTCGGTTTCTGAAAAACAGATCATCGTAGATGTCAACTAATCAGCTGTCAAATGGCGTTTCAAATTTCATTTGAGTTGCCAAAAGTATGGTTAAACTCTTTGAATTGATCATTCTGATCATTAAAAAGATCATTAAAAAGATCATTAAAAAGATTAAAAGATTAAAAAGAGTTTAACCACCATTTTGGCAACTTTGGAAAAGCTTTTGACAGGTGTTTAGTTGACATCTACGATGATCAGTCTTTCAGAAACCGGGCGTCAGTCTGATAGAGGGAAGTGAAAGCGCATGACCAGGAAAGCAGACCCAACCATCAGATGGGAATAACTATTTGTGTGACCCACAGATGGTTGTTTCGCATCTGGGTGTGTTCACGAGAAGTATATGTTTGTTAGAGGCCATTACAACACAGGATAATGTAATCCGAAAGCCGAAATGTTTTTCTATTAAAAAAATACAAAATAAATGTATTCATTTTCAAAAGAAAAGTATGTAATGTATAAGTATGTATCCATAGTGCAAGCGTTGCTTAGTTTGGGACTAAGCAACGCGTAGAGGACGTTGTGTAAAAAAGAACATTATAAAAACGAGAAGAGAGAGAGAGAGATCGGTTGTCCCGCTTGCTCGTTTGCCTCCCGTTCCACTTAAAACATAAAAAGCCGTTACTGTGGGATAATCTTACAGTCCTATCCCACAGTACGGACAACGTTTTTGAAAAAGTGAAAAGAGAGGGAAGTGAGACAGATCGGGTTGTCCCGCTCACTCGTTTGCTCTTCAAACAAAGAACAAGAATAAGAAAGCACCCACCGTACTGTATGAAGTCCGCGACTGCCTTCTCCCTGCGCAGGCTGCTGTTGACGCACTCCTCGTAGAGGACGAGCAGCATGTCGAGGAGTGTCTCCACGCTGAAGCCGCCAGCGCGCGGGCCCTGGAGCCGACGCGACGCGAACATCGTCTCGATCTGCTTGAGACGCTTGATGCCCAGAACTGGAAAGGCGTCCGCTTGGTGAAATGGGTTACATTACTAACTAGCCGCTGCCCGCGACTACGCCTGCGTAGAATGCGCTGAATGCGTAACATTAAGACAGAAAGACAGATATAAATAAAAAATATGTATATAAATTACAGCCTATGTGTTATTCTGATGTGTAAGCTATATTATTGTAAAGTTTAATTAAAATCCATTCAGTAGTATTTGCGTGAAAGAGTAACAAACATCCATCCATACATACATATAAACTTTCGCCTTTATAATATTAAGTAAGTACAAAATACTGTAGGTAAAAGTAAAACGCGAAAAAAAAAAGTGCGTGGAGTCCCTCTGCGCGGAAGAAGTGAAACTTCGAATGCCACACATTTAATCTCGCGCCGTCTCTTTCTATTCCCCCTGCCCAGGAGCGTTGAACGTTTAACTGTAGTTCGTTTATTACCACAGTTCTAAAAAGTATATCTGATCTTTATGAAAACTTCGTCACATCACCACCTACTCATCCACTAAAGAAGTTTAGATTTTGTTCGATGGAGAATTTCCACACAATGATATGTATAAAGCCAACCTCATAATGCCGCTTACGTCTCCCGTGGCTTTATGGGATAATAAGTGTTGTAAAAGCATTTCCAGCTACCTTCAATCGCATATTTTTCTCACCAGGTTAGCTAGCAGAGAACTCATGCATTGAGAGTTAAGCTCACATTTTGTACATTACTTACAATAAATACATAAATAAATAAATAAAAACGTATTAGGCATGTACATGTGTATGTACGCACAATGGATCTAACTTATATATGCGACAAAATTCAAGACACGCTTTCTGACCAACGCTCATCGTTAATGAAATGCAATGACCGAATTGTGTCAGGAAATTTCGGCTGCAGAGTGCGTGAAAATCTCTCGCGAGGGTGTTTCTCGCAAACAAAACGGGCGGTTATGAAGTTTTTCGAATGTGAGCGCGTGCTAGAATTAGCGCGCCAACACGTCGACCCACTGACCCGCCCGCTGCACCGGGGGCGTGTACACGGGCAGGGACGGATTTAGAGGTCTGGAGGCCTCGGGGCAACAAACGAGTGGAAATTATTTACCATTGATTTCTATTTTATGTAATCATGTTTGTACAAATTACTGTAGGTATAGATAAAACGCAAAAAAAAATATGAAAGAAAATGTTGTTTACTAATGTTTATTAATCTGAACTTGATTTTTGTCTCCGAAGTTTCTATTGCGGGCGCCCCTCTTTTGTGGAGGCCCCGGGGCTTTAGGTTGCCCTCCCCTTAATCCGGCCCTGTACACGCGGTCCGATTCCAGCGTTGTATTGACACGAGTTCACGAGCCATTTAGAGCGTGGGAAAGGTCTCACAAAATGTAACCGTTGCGGCGGTGTCCGCCCTAAAGAATCACTTGTGTACTGGCCTAGAGTCCTTTTAAAAACTGTCCTGGGGCCACGCAACAGTATTAGCTGTTGCACGAATGGGCAGGCCCGTCCAGGGATCTACCACGGCCCCGCGGAAGACCGGCGTGAAGTGGAGCTGTTTGAAGGTTTGCAAAACATTAGCAACCCCCTCAAACGTCAAAGGTATCTAATGACGGCAATCACTTAACATCAGGTGAACCAACAGCTCGATTGTCACTTTATCACATTAAAAAAAATAGTTTTCACTATTTCTCTTTCCTCTCCTTACAAATACACATATTATACCATGTTCGTTCGATAGTTTCTGAACAGGATTTCTCTTGTATATAACTTATTCGATATGCATATACAGCGTGTCGTTACCATCGCGACAATACATGAACACACGTCTAACGCTACGAGCCAATAATCATAAAAAAATATTAACGTAAAACAAAATCCATAATTAAAAAAAAATATTTTTCAAACAAAATAATTAAGTAAAAAAGAAACAAAATTTGTAACAACCTATACAACTCGTGCCACAGCGTCGTATTACAAGCCTCTCCTTCTAACAGTATGTTTTGCCTCTTTTAAATTCATTCAACCCAATCATATGCTTTGTGACCTTTACAAATGAACTTTACGTTACGCTTTTATAGGTAAGGGTGTTCTAAAATTCTTTGTTTTGGAAAGCTTTTAATAACTCTGTAAATATTGATGTTTAAAGAATTTAAACGATTAATACAACTTTAAAAAGTTATCCCCTATATGTGTGTTCATTTATTGTCGCGATGGTAACGACACGCTGTAGATTCCAAAATAATTAAATGATTATCATACACATACACAAAGGGAATTGTAAAAACATATTTACAATAATATTTACATACAGGTACATAACTTATATTGGCTCTAACTTCTATCTACTGGCATTACCAGAATGATGTTCTTAATTATCAGAATGATCAATTCAAAGAGTTTACTCATCGTTTTAGCAACTCAAATAACATTTGAAAAGGTGTTTGACAGCTGATAAGTTAACCTCTACGATGATCAGGTTGTTGGGCGTAAGAGTTCATAAAATATTTACAATGTTTCCATTTCTCATATGATACATATAAACCGAAAACAAAAGAACGAAAGAACCATTTAAAAGCCACCAACATCATAGAAATAAAATAAAAATAATAAAACACATTTAAGCGAATAAAATACCACGTAATTACATAAACGGGCACGGGCGGCTAATCCGTCGCATACCAAAAGATTTATCCACTCGTCGTACTTAAACATGTACCATATCTATAAATATATAAAAATGAATCCCTATTTCCCTTGGTCAAGCCATCACGCGTGAACGGCTGGACCGATTTCACTTTTTTAAGTTGTGTTTTTGTTATTATCGGGAGCAGGTTCTTATGAAAGAAATTTTTCTTTCTCTTTAAAAAATTGCCCGAAAACGTCTAAAAACAACACTTTTCTATATTCCCGTACAAAAGATTCGTAATAATCCTAAAAAGTCAATTTGAACTTTAATACCATATCATAAAGTTTAAGTGAGTGACTGTGGTAAAATGTCACTTGAAATGTAATCGTCTCTTTGCTGTGCATTACTACATAGTATAAAAAAAGTCGCCCGCGGTCTGTCTGTCCCTATGTATGCTAAGAACTACATAACGGAACTTGATGCGGTTTTTTTTTTACTAGATGAAGTGATTTAAGACGAAGGTTCATATTATGTATAATACATTGCACCCGTGCGAAGCCGGGGCGGGTCGCTAGTATGTACATAAAGTAACAGCCTATATATGTATCACTGCTGTGTAAAGGCCTCCTCTGTACAAAGGGTATTAGGGCATAGTCTACGACGCGACCCCACTGCATTTCGGGGAACTTCACATATATTCGAAATTTGGTTTTGTTATATGTGTACTCTATGAGCCCGAGACTACAGGGCTGATAGTTCCATTCCTAATAACCTCTCTAACAGCCCAGCGGTGGGACATATACAGGGAGAATTTTTGAGAAGTGCCCAAATTTACACAGGAGGTTCAGACTCGGTAGTGTAATCGTTTATTGAAATAAAAAACAAAGTTTTTTTTTCCATAAAAAAATGCCATTCTATTCCCTAAAAAACAGAACGTGTTGACAATACGGTAGTCATTCATAAATACCTAAATTTTACTGTGCACGAACTTGTGTGCGTGTTAGTTATGAATGATCGTACGTAAAATAAATGAGTTGCGTATAAATCACGCAATTTTTCAGATAAGTTCAAATGAATGTAATTAATTACCTACGAGTGATTTTAAATATTTATCATTTTTTTAAATAACATTATTTATGTCTAGAATTTAATAAAAAAAAAGCCACCCTGTATAAGGCTGATACTTTACTGTTTTATTCGTACACGTGTTTCATTTCGTCGAGTGTTAGATGATATTTTTGGAATGGTTGAAAAAGGGCAAGCGTGGACGTGCCAACGTCGGCTTTGTCACGCGATTCCCTGGGCGGCGCACGGCGTAAGCGATTCCGTGCGATGGGCTAGCCTCCGATATATTATACAGCGTGTCGTTACCAACGCGACAATAAATGAACACACATAGAGAGGATAACTTTTTAAAATTGTATCAAAAATTTACATTCTTTAAACATCAATATATACAGAGTTATTAAATTTTCCAAAACAAACAATTCTAGAACACCCTTACATATAAAACTGTAACGTAAAGTTCATTTGTAAAAGTCACAAAGCATATGAATGGGTTGAATGAATTTAAAAGAGACAAAACATACTTTTAGAAGGAGAGGCTTGTAATGCGACGCTGTGGCAACGAATGAAAAAGTCTCTGAATGTATGAATCAGTCAGTTGTAGTTGTATAGGATGTTATAAATTTTGTTTCTTTTTTACTTAATTACTTTGTTTGAAAAAGATTTTTTTTTAATTATGGATTTCTTTTAACGTTAATATTTTTTATGATTATTGGCAAGAGCGTTAGACGTGTGTTAATTTATTGTCGCGATGGTAACGACACGCTGTATATTAAAGAACAGGAATATATAGTTGGGCGTAACGAGGTTTCATTCGGCGAGGGACCTCGTTACTAAACACCGGCAGGCAATTTTCTATATCAATATTTCTTATTTCTTTTCAATTTACGAATTTCATTAATACATAGTATGAAACAAAGTCGTCCCGCTGTCCGTCTGTGCCTATGTATCCTTAGTTCTTGAAAACTACGCAACGAATCTTGATGCGTTTTCTTTTACTAGATAGAGCGATTCAAGAGGAAGGTTTATATGTATAATACGTTAAAGTTTTTTTTAATAATTATTACTAGCGAAGCCGGGGCGGGTCGCTAGTAATAATTATAAAACAGGCCTGTGGCACTTGTTAAGTGACAATTGTCCATATGATTGTATTACTTATCTTACTATTCAATTTTATGTGAAAAGTTGGCAAGCAAGCAGACCTCACACATCACCTTATGTTATGTGATAACCGCCGCCCATTGACATTTGCAACGCCCGTAGGGTCGCAGACGCGTTGCCAACTTTTAACTAAGAGGGAACCGGCTACCTCCCTCGCTTAC